CTAGCAGCCAATAAATCCCTCGTGTGTTCTTATATCCGTATGTGCGCTCGTCACGACGATCTCGTGAGAAAAAATGTGGTTCTATGAACAATGTGAACAGGCTATTTCTTGCGTGATGCGGCTTTGGTCAAGTCTTTCAAAGACGAATATTAAAAGAAGCACACCCCAGTCCTTTGCGATTACCATAAGTAGTCTGCGAGGGCAGGATTAAGACACTCTGTGAAAAATAAGTATTAAGGTAGGCTTGAAAAGCTGAGTTGCCTTAAGACTCGATCTATCATTCATGTAAATCGTATGTAGTGCTCCAATTCATACTCATCATTGTATGACTGACGATGATTTATGTTTCATCTGAAACATGTTTTGTATGAAAAATATACTTTTAAAGCATTGTGTTGTCTCACATTGAGCTGTTGACACAGTCGAACCTCCTACTCCTCCGTGAGCAACCACGTGCCCCTTCCCCCGGATATGGAACCATACCAATCAAACACTCAACTAAAAAAAGACACCCAGTTTTTCCAGTCAAAGCCCTATAGATGGAATTTCTCATAAAGGATTCCCCCTCTTGTAAGCAACGTGACACTCTAGAAAATAAAAAGATAACATTGTGTTTAGTTTGCTAACCCTTCTCGGAGCTTTCAAGGTCCATTTGATCCTAACAAATTCTCTTTCAAATATAAAAATTTAAGCTTGTGAGCAGCAATTTTGGCATGGGTCTCTTATGTGACGTCACTCCGTCCTACATAATACAGAGAAGTAATTACGTCACGTTGTCATGGAAGCAAAATTTTCTGGATCTCAACAAACTGTGGTCCTGCAAATATGGCAGAAAAACGAAAAAATTGACATGTATGACTTTCCTCTACATATGATTCGTTAGACAATACAAGCGGCCGTCTCTGTTAAGAAAGATTGTTGAGATCCAGAAAATCTTGCTACCATGGTAACCTGACATCACATTTCTCCTCTTGCAGGAAGCTCCGGGAAGCTTTCAACGCATTCTCGTGCCCCCAGAAAACCTCGTCCCCAGGGACGAGGTTGCCCAACCTCGTCCCCAGGGCTTTTCCCTTAAAAAATGGGTGGGGCGGGACAAGGCCCTGGCATCGGCTGGTCACGTGTACAGCCTAAATATTCCTGAGAAGTTAATTTATATGCAACCCGCTGGTCTTGCGCCGGAAAATAATAACATCGCGAACTATGTCGATATTTTCGCGTGTGTGCGATTCAAAAGCTTAAGATCCATTCAATTGCGCATTATTCAAATGCGAGTTTTTGAAAGAGCGTACCGGCTCTACGTTGTTACGTACAAAATATGTCAAATGCTTCAGAGTTGAGACAAGCTGTTTATCGGCTAGGACAAGCGGAAAGTGATTTTGTCCAATGTCAAACAAAAATGCGGGCCTTTGCCTCCAGAATTGAACTTGATTGAAATAGAATTGTTCATCAAAATGCTTTATGGAGTCTGGTCTTCTCCCCGGAAGGGACTCCGCATATGAAAGGAGTGGGGATGCTCGTCGAAAATTTTGAATTAAACCCCTAAAGGAGACCAATCTAGGCGTGGCCCAAGCTTTTTTTCACTCCTAAAGGAGACCATGTTAAAACAGAGACAAATGAAAAATACAGTGACTCTTAATGATGGCAAAGACATTATCATCGAATACTTGGATTATACGAATGGAGTAAATAAAACAAATAAAAAATACATATGAAATATATATTTTTATATTTTTTTCGCGTGCAACCCAAAACGAGACCTTCACGGCAAAATATGATCGTGTTTTGCCCAGAACCGTCCCTATGTGAGACCAAAATCCAAACTTTACACCCCTGAGCGAGACGACGAGCATCTCCACCCCTTTCGTATGCGGAAACAGGCAAACAAATCTCCGCGCCGGAAGCAAGTCAGCCTTCCAGCCAGGAACGATGACAGGTCGCCGATCTGAAACATTTGAAGACCTCTGATATCTTTCCTCTTCCGAGGATAAGTACAAAGGATTTTCCATATATCAAAGAGAAGATTGACTGATCGATTGGAATCAACTACAGCTTTGTCAATTTTAAATGGACCCGTCTTTCTTTGTGCCAGTCGTTTGATCGCAGAGGTCGATGAATTTTTTCAAAATACAGGTCATACAGGCTAAGTCTAAACCAACGCGTGTCGCTATGATATGGCTGAGAGTTAAGGTGAATAGAACTAGGCTGTGTACGCCGGCCCACTTCGCAAGAAATAAAATAAAATATCAGAAGAGTCGAGAAAGCGGACTTTTCCAGTACATACTTTATGCATGTTCGATAGCATGTTTGTCATTCATACCGCTCTGTAAACAGAAGTTTTAAAGATGTTACTCGCTGCCCCCTTCATGGAAATCGAAGGAAAGCAAAACAATTACCATTGCCAGTATCTGTGACGGCAAAAAGGAAATCTTGTAAAACCTTTCGTTAATGGATGTAAACGGCCGCCCAAGACCGCGCGGTGTGAGGTTACGCATAATTTCAGCTTTTCACATAGCGCTAATTTATTACACCCAGGATTTTAGGGTGTACGAGGGCACACGTGACCAGCCGATGCCAGGGCCTTTTCCCGCTCCACCCATTTTTTAAGGGAAAAGCCCTGGGGACGAGGTCGGAGGTTGCCCCCTAGAGCCTGTCGTTTCTTTGTACGAGAATGCTTTCAACGCAGAAACTTCGGCACTGCAGTCATTTTTATTTGTCGCTCAAATTAACCAAGCCCCCAGGAAAAATTAAGAAGTAACAATTCATTTTTTCATGTCTCACTCTTCCGTGTACATTACCTAAACCACTTTGCATAACTCTGCATACTACCAAACAATGACTAAAAGATACTCTCTCCACTCCCGGTGGCTACTTTTGTATTTTCTCCAGGGTCCTAGTAGGGATCTTTGCGACCTTTCTCGAATCATGCATAATTAATTATGCGATGCCTCCTTCTGTCCAAAGGTGAGTAATTTTATTTTGGCAAAGAAGTAATTCAATTTTGGGCCGCTCGAGTAGCCCACAGACGTATCTGTCGATCTATTTTGTCTTGATGTAGCCTCTGCGTTGTTCAACGAACTTCTTCTGCGTGAAAATCGAATACCTACGGCTAGCAGCGCGGAGTTAGTTGTGCAAATCTTTTGACTGTTTAATTTTACCAAGCTGATCTTTTCGATGACACACAAGGCCACAAAACTTGTCTGCAGTGCCTTTTAATTTCATTTGAATGCACGTACTAGAATGCCTTGGTTTCAGTTTTGACTTATGAAATTGCGTTTTATTTCAGTGGGTATTCTCGTCTCTGAATAGCTCGGAATGATACATGTAGAATACTATATGATCAGAATGATATTTGATTCATGTCAGGGAGCTCTTTCTTTTAAATATTTCAGTATCGTTGTGAACGTATTTTCGTATGGCATAAGCTTTATTGTTGTAATAAATGGAAGGAAATCGAGCAACCTTTGCTTACTCTTGCTTGTAAGCTGTTGTATGTATACCGTTAGATCTTTGCATTCTAAACCAGAACAGTTATTGACGTGTTATTGAATTTATAAATTTATAAATAAGTTTAGTTAAACTGGGTGGGTGTTGCCCTGATAGCTCTTTGAAAAACTATAAAGAAAGCAGCTGCTACTAAGGACATAGGCAATGAAATGTAATGATTCCCATGCAGCTATACCTTTAACTTTTAATATTTTTTAAAAAATAATAATGATAACCAGTTTTATGGATATTAAATTTTTATCAGCAACAATTCTGGCTATGAACATGTAGGTTTTACTAATCTGGTGTATCTCAATGAACATTCGGTTTTCAAACTCAATCAAACTAGATTAAAACGGTCTTGAGCAATAAAAAGAGTTCAAATTATGCAGTTCAGCCAGTGAACGAAATCGATCTCACTAAAAGGAAATTTGAATTGAACAAATTAAAATGGAACATTTGACTTTCAAACTCATTTGGACAAAAGAGTTGGACTGAGTTTGGTCATCGAAGGAAGTGGAGCTCACAAAAGAAAAACCTGAATGGAACAAAATTGGAAGAGTGTTCCAGTCTTGAACTCTCGATATGGTCCACCGTTTAAACAGTCAAGGCGAGAATGAAGAATGCCATGCATCTTGCACACTTTATTCATAAGCAACAATCCCCTGGGTTAAGTATTAACTATCCTTTAAGCAACTGACTCTGATAATTTTTTTTTTTTTTTTGAGCGGGGGGGGGGGGGGGGGTGGGGCACGGCATTTTTTTTTTCATAATTTTTTTGAAAAAATTGGGTGTAATCACGATGTCAGAAACAATTATGTACATTTTCCTGAGTGCATAAATGGCCAGAGAGGAATTTAATCAAAACAAGATAAGTATTACATTTAATTTGGTACCTTTCTTCACTTTAATGGACTTGGTCAAACTTTTTAAATTTGACTCGCTGGATTTAAAAGATACAACCTACAAATAGCCACAGCATAATTGAGATCACTATGGGACCAGTATTGGAGGTGAAAACCATCCATTTATATAAAGGAGTTTTCTTGGTCTTAAGGTGGCTATAATGCAGATTTTTTCTTGATACCACTATAATTAAGACCAAGCTATTATCGACAACGGCAACGGCAGCGAAAATGTCAGTTTTAAAATGAATTCCCGTTTTTCTAATCTTTGTCGCGTTTATTCCAATTTGCTGGAAATGGCAATTGTAGGCGAATTTCCCTAGAGTTGATTTCTTGAGGACCGCACTCAAGTTTAGAGAGAGAAAAAGAGATTCGTCCTCCATAAAACTTGCAATTAGGCATTTTTATGTCGTTGTCGTGCAAGGACGGTAAAGAAATGTACAAAAAAGCGTGATGCACGTGCAAAGTTGTTGTTTTGCGTAATAAACCTATTGCTTTTTTGACGTCGTGGTTGCCGTCGCCGTCGTCGCTAAAGCTCCCTATTATTTCAGTGAGCTAACCACTCTGTAATTCCCTTCATTTTTCTGTTCTGAATTCAGATAAACTGCAGGCATGAGTGGGGAGGCTCAAGAAAGGAATGTCGTCATGGAGGAATCTAATGTTGGAGCTCAGAATTCTGATGACACTCTTGTAGTGTTAGAATTCTCACCTAAAGCTCCTGCTGAAACTAAAGAATGGCTGACAGCACTTATAAAAGCTCCAGGTGTGTTTGTTATTATTTGTCCTACATGTAATTCTAACAGAAACTTTGATGGACTGTTTCCTTGCCTGTTTAGAGTACAGAGAAATGTTGTAACATAACAACATAGTTGCCTTGTTGCTTGTTTCTTCTTCAAAATTTAAGGGCTACTTTGGACAGCATTGTTATTGACTAATCTTGCAAAGATTTTAAAGGGGGCAGTGGTTCTATTCATTAACCCGTTAAGTCCCAATATCCACAAACAAGTTCTCTAGACCATCATCAACCTAATTAATACATTAACTCCATGGGTTTCAATAAGCACTGACGTCTGACGAAATGTGCCGGCTACTTTGCTCAGAGAAGTCGGCTACTTTTTTCTAGAAAGAAGGAGCAACTAGTTTGAATAATGTTGTAACCAAAAAGTGCATCAGAAAATCTGAATGAAAACGTAATTATGTGTTTTCAGAATGGCCCACTTGTTTATACTTAAGTCATGTGAATGCTGTGTTTCAGCCATTTTTTTTACAAGTTTCTTAGGTTTAGGCAGAATTTGTTTGCATGCAAAAGTATTTAGATAATCATCATTTGTTCATTGGTTGTAGGAATTGATTGTGTGGCTGATAGATCGAAAATTAAATGAAAGCTACATTCTCTTGAAAAGAAAAAAAGAACCACGCTCTTTTGTCCTCAGTTTATTCCCCAGAATGCTGGAAATTCCTTTTAAGGCTTTGAAATTTCAACATTTTTTTGGGAAGCACGCCCCAGCTCCCCTCCCCCCTAGAAAAAGCGGACTAACGGCCTCTTGTTGATACAGTCAGTTACTCTATGCAAACCTGCTGGCTACTTCAATCTTTATTGAAACCCCTGAACTCAAAGAATTAGTTGCGAGAATTTGTTTAAAGATCAAAGCATTTTATTTAAGTATTTTACATTGTTAGGAGAAATTTGATGTTAGTTGCTCCTTGAACTTAAAAAGGTTGACCATAACTTGGCTGGTTGTTGTTTCTGTGTAGTCAGCAGTGGAGGTGCTGGGCTCAAGACAAAGCTTGTTGCAAATGCTTTAAAGAACTGCGACACCCTGCATATTTCTGCAGACACCAAGCGTCTTCTTGCTGGTGCTGAGAAACTAAAAATCAAAAAGCGCCATAAATCTGGAGCTATAATGGATTTCTGTTTAGAACAGCGCAAGGAATTCAAAGACTTTGTTAATGATGGTGAAGAATTTTTGATGGTGAGAGAGAAGGAGCGTATTATTTATGTTGCACTGGAGAGCATCAAAACTCATGAAGATGGAACTGTTCCTGGTTATAGTGACGTAAAGATGTATAAAAACAGGGCCCTTAGTAAGTACATGTATTCAATATTGTCTGACTTGCAGGAGACAAAGTGGTGACTCTTAGTCAATAGCCCATGAGGCTGAAGTAAAATCCAACTAGTTGGTCAACAATATCGAGACGAAACAACCTCAGCTAGTTGAAGCTAGACTTTAACCCTTTTTTCTGACAAAAAGCGGGCGCTTTTCGCTACTAGTGGGCTATAACATATAGCCTAGTAGTAGCTCAACCAATCAGAATACAGCATTGATAATAGACCACTAGTTGGATTTTACTAACGAGTGATATTTTTGGTCAATGTCTAATAGATACCCTGGGAGGGGGGACTGGGGGGATGGGGGGGTCACTCAAGGGACGTTTGGTAGAGGTGAACCACTGCAGAAGCCTTCAAACCCTGACACTGTTAAAAAGAAAATTGTTCATTTCTCTACCCTGTTTAAATCACAAGAGCTTTTTTCATGGCCCTGATTTATTTCGTTTCCTATACAGAATTAAGTATTTTTTTAAAGTAACCTTGTGGATAATAGATTTTTTTCCACACATGTAGACTGCTCATTACCAACACTCACACTCTTTTGAAGGCCTCTGGTTTAAAAAGACCCCCAATTCATGATGCTAAATAGTGAAATTGTAGACACTGTTAAAGACTGACAAGACACTGAAAATCACACCCTGCTCTGTACCAATTTAGGCCAAATAAGGGAGTGCCTCCACCCTCATCCTGAGTTATTACGTTTCTAATTACAGGCACGGTTATCTCAACAACTTAGGCAATAAACATTGTTCATGATGCTTGCTGTTTCTGCATTTGCTGGAGGATTGATATTGTTAAAGCAATGTCAAGGGTTAAAAAATTTTAACCTGAATCTAATTTTAACCTGTCACATTTCCCCCTCCCCCCCTCCCCTTCCAAAAAAAAAAGAGAACCCTCGTCCACCCATATTTTATCATTGTACTACATACTTCCCCATTTTTGTGTGCATCATTGGCTCAAGTTGGTTGTAAATACATCATAGCAATCATGGCCATTTCCCTGAATAGGCTTATAAGAAGGAGCTGATGAACTTTGCACGGGTTAAGGGAACTTACCAGTGTATGAATGAAATAAATAATGTAATTTCCAATTTAAGTCAATGCCAAGAATGATAAATTATTATTTCCATTTTCTGTTACATGTACATGTATTTTGATAAGCCATCAATTTAGAAATGATTCATAAAAGAATGTTGACTGACATGCAGAATTGCACTTAAATCAGACATTTATTGATTCTCCTTTCACAGTTCCAAGGTGCATATCCAAGGGAATTGTTACCCAGATCTTTCCTCTCCACGACCATGAAAAACTTAAAGTCTTGGAACACAAGTGGTATCTGAGCTTCTCCAGAAAACAACCTCTAGGTAAGCTGACTTTGCGGTCCTGTCCTGAGGCTGTCCACAATATGGAGAGTGGAGTGTAATTGGGTTGAACTCTATCTTGTGGCACACTTCTAATCAATAGTTTCCTGTGTGTGGTGTTTGTAAGTAGCTTTAACACATATGTTTTCTTAGGGGTCAGATTAGTTTATTGCAAGTGTTTGTTTTGAGTGGCCCAAATAATCAGAGAGTTTAAGCAATGATAATGACAGGAGCAAAAACATGTCTTAAAATTACTAAAGGAATGAAATTTCACTCTATAAACTTCATTACAATAATATTATTATTCAGTCTCACTTTGTCAAAGTAGGTGAACTTTCCTGAGATAGCTGAATTCTTAGGGTCAGGATTCACAAGTTCAAAGAAGAGAAAGAATTACGTTTGTCATCATACGCTCACATCGTCTATTCAGTGTCACTGTACTAACATTGCTTTTTGGTGTTCTTGTTGAATTTGCCATCATTGCTTCTTGCTGTGGTTGCCAATAGGCTCCCTTTTATCATGGCATCTTTACTTTAGAGATGTGTACCATCTTTTAGCTTTTCCAAAGGCAGATAATGATCTTTTTCAGGAAGAAAAGAGAAAGGGAACTTTCTCTCTAAAATACTGATTTTTTCTATCTAAGTTCTAAGGATTGTTCACGCTTAAGTTGTTTGGGCCTCAACCTACAATCAGTGGAAAAATTGTTGAGGTCCTCAAATTGGGTAACTTGGAGAACAAAACAATCCACACCCCTCCCCCCCCCATCCATTCAAACATGGGGTGTTTGTTTTTTCTACAGTTAGCGTGAACAGCGGCACAATGTTGTATGGAGGGGGTGAAGGAGGAAAGATTTATTTTCCCCTAAGTTGGCAAAATGTCAGAGACGCGCTTTAGGCAAAGTTTCTGAACTAGTTTTGTTGCCAGTTGTAGGTAACTGCACAGTTCACAATATAGCTGTTAATTTCCCAATGAACTGTACAACATGACACTGTAAAATTACCATGAAATTGTCACTGAGTCTTTTCTTTTTTATAATCCATGTCCTGCAGTTTGTTTAACATTTTCCTTTCCGACATAATTCTCTTCTCCAGATGACATACGTGAATACTTTGGAGAGACCATAGCGATGTATTTTGGATTCTTGGGTTTTTACTCCATGTGCCTTGTTCCACCAGTTTTGTTAGTTGTTGTCTTTGCTCTGTCTGGAGCACATGAACAAACAAAGAATACAGTGTTTGCTATCTTGAACCTTGTCTGGGGTACTGTCTTCTTGGAGGCATGGAAACGTCGCTGCTCTGAGATCTCCTTTAGATGGGGGACTCTAAAGTCAGGCATAGGTGAGTGGATGTAAACTTTTTTTTACAGTGGAAAGTGCTCTTAGCTTGTCCAGCTGGTTTACAGGCACTTCACTCAAATACTTAGAAACAAATGATTCAAATATAACCCAACATAATTAAAAACCCCAAACTGGCAGGAGGCAACCAGTTGGTTATTTACAAGTGAACTTTACAAGTGAACTGTTTTACTCCTAGAGGTGGCCAAAGTTAGAAATTCAGATTTCTTTTTGTAAAATCCTTAGATTTAAAAAGCACCAAGTAAATGTTCTGCAAAAAAGGTTTTATTTGAATGGTAGTACCATGCGATTTAACCACAGATGGAAAACTTTAAATTTCAAGTCATTGCTCATAACTCATTCCTATGAGTGCAGTAGTGTAGCCAAGGAAAAGCTAAGAATTTTTTACTCAACTTTAACTTCAAAATTTGTTTTCCAGAGCAATTTGAACCAGTGGTTTACAAGCTCTCCTTTCCACCCTCTCGATCTCTTAGCCACATCCTTGGGAGGGAAAGTGTAGTTTACTATTTGACCTGGGCTGTTCTGTTATGTACTGAGGGTGGTTGTGGTTCACTGGTTAGCCACCCTCAAAAATAAGAATTTGAAATTCAAGTTTAATGATTATTCAGAGAGTGTTTAAAAAAATGTTCATATTATGTTTAAAAAATTTAGTGAAAAAATTGAAGTAGCTTACCATTATCTAAGAGAAGAATAATTTCCAAGCAATGTAGTGTGGAGAAAAAGGGAAGTCATTTCAATAAATTGAAATTCAGTACAAACAAGGAAAAATGAAATGCAAATGAACATTTTTGCATAAAATGGTTTTCTGCACTCTTTTTCATGAATTAGGCAATGGGAAGAAATAAATTTTATTTTAAATTTGCAATTTAGGCACAGAGGAAGTTGAGGAGCCACGCCCAGCCTACTGGGGTGAGAAGCGCACCAGCCCAATCACAGGACAAACAGAATACTACTACCCACCATGGAAAAGAAAGATAAAGACCTACTGTGTGTCTTACCCAATTGTCTTCTTCTGCTTGAAGATTGCAACTGTGGTTATGCTTTTAAATTTTAAATTCCTTGATGCTGTTGAGGCCAGATATAATGATGTTGGGGGAATTTTTGCCAGCATCATGCTTTCATTACCAAGTATTGTGTACGCAATTGCAATTGCTGTGTTGAATAACCTGTATCATCAACTGGCGACTTTCCTGACAGAATGGGGTAGGTTGTAAACTTCTGTTCATCCTTTAGTTTGGTGTCCCTGTGATCTGCCAGACAAAAATTATGTAGGGATCCAAATTTTGTGTCTCAATAGTATCCTCATTTAGGGACGTTATGTTATGTTGGAAGTGAGAATTGCACTTGTCTTCAGGGGATCCAAGGACTTTTCATGGATTTTAATTGACTCGAAGTGCAATACTTTACAAATACATTTTTTCACGAGAACAATTCGGTCAAGTTTGGAAGTTTCTTGACAAACTTTGCAGAGCACAACGCTAGTTGCTTCAGCTTTTGTGCTTGGTGGAAAGCTAAACAGTAGGCATTGGCTTGGATGTCAAATAAAAAAAATTCACATAAGTTAGTCATTCGAAGATGAGTTTTTGTGTTATAATACTCGTCGGAACAATGTTATTGTCATCTCGGACAACCTGACGACCACTACTATGGATCCCTGTCAAAATATAAATCATTGTACCTCTGTGACTGAGTAGGAAAGTCAAATTTTATAGAAGCTTGATTATCAGTAATGACTAAGAGACTACAGTATTTAGTCAATCAGCCTGCTTTCAGTTCTTGCATAATTTAGTCCCTCTTTTTCCTTTTTGCAGAAAATCACAGGCTGCAGTCAGCTTTTAACAACCATCTTATTGTCAAGTTGGTTCTTGTGAGTACAAGTACATAAAATTACACCAGCCACTTTCAACATAATTTAATATTATAGTGTTTTTGACAAGGTGCTTGGTCAATCTGCCCTGCGAAGGGAGCTCTCAAAATGTCCGTTTTTGTTATGGTGTACCGACACATCTTCAACCGAAACAACTTTTTCATTTGGTGCCAATTTTGGTTTTACATTGTACCAGTGTCACAGTTTATAACTCTTTTATCCATTTGCTCCCTAGCCTGCATGGCTCTTGCTTGAAAGGGACAGGGAAAGGGGAATCGGTGACCGGTCGCTTCGCCTACGCGTTTCGGTAACGTCCCGTCTGCTAACATCTCAAGTCGTTTCGCTTACGAAAAGAAAAAATAGAAAGAGCGGTACACATGTATACTGGATATATACATCGAGACTCGATTCTCGAGACGCGAGACTCTATCCTCGAAAGTTTCGAGAATCCGGAGGATCGAGACGCGAGTGACTGTCAACTTACTTTTGAGCGGTACTGTAACTCTTTCTTTCAGCCATGACATGGGAAAGTCCGATACACATGTGTATATGTCGTTCTTTAAGCCTTTAATTAGGCAAAAAAGGTTAGGCCACCGATCTAACACCATGGCGAAATGACTTACAATGTTTGCGATAAGGACGTTGGCGAAACAACTCGTAGACGAAACGCCCTTAAATCGCAAAATCCACCATGTGAGAATATGAAAGGCATGAGATGAAGGAAAGCGGGTTCTATCCTTGCACTCACATAAAAATAAATGTAAAATGATACTGCCACATTGTTTGGTTTAATTGTCTACAATATTGGTTGGTTAAACCTGAAAATCATTGTTGCTGAATAAACAGGATTAGAATCATAGTACCTCCTGTTTGTCGAATTCTTGAAGGGTCATCAAATGCAGCTCGAGCCCCACCTTGATTGGTTTCCTTTGTGGTTTCCATGGAAATGTTTCTGTGGAGCATCCTCAACAAGCCTTGAATCTATTATTTAACAATTATTCCACGAGTGCGTGTTGGATATGAGTTGGCTATAATCATCTTATATCCAACAAAAGAGTGGAATAATTGTTTTATTAAAAATGCCAACAAAATATCTAAAATTTTTCCCGACTTTATTTGCAAAAACAACCGATTTTCAGCTTGTTTTTAATTTTGAGCAGACGCGTACAGTTGCCATATTTGGAGAGCATGGTATAGTGGCTCATATACCATGATGGCTTAGCCAATCAGAGCTCTACAATGCATTATCAAATGATTCAGTGTTTAATACTTATCATTAGAACATCTTCACCTTAGTTGTTTCATTAACTGTGTTTTATATATATTTTTTTATCCTAGTTCTACTTTGTGAATTGTTTCTACTCGCTTTTTTACATTGCATTTTATCTACAAGACATTGATCTTTTGCAAAGGGTAAGTTGGAACAGACCTATTAATGTCGTTATCACAGGATCATGATTCATACTTTTGTTTTCAACTATGATGACTTGGAAACAGGGAGCTATTTGATATAACTTTTATAAGTGAAATTTACAAATGTAGGTATTATTTTAGAGTTTGAACTTGTGACGTTATAGGAAATGGACCCCATGCTTCTTGGTTCCGATAACTGAACTGAGGGGAGATTAGGTAGAGGAAATGGAGGATGAAGACCTGTGAACAAACCATTGATACTGCCATCCTATTTCCAAGCAAAGCCAAACAGCTCACTTGAAATTCTACGTTAGTAATTTGTTTTACCGAGATTGAAGATTTGTTTTAGCTTTGAGAAGAAATCCATTTTCGTATTTCTGAATCGTTTGGTTGACTTATAGAGCGCCACATAAAAAAAGGTCGTTTCGGTCCAAAACTTTACAGATTATTCCAGTTCAGCTGAAAAATAAAACGTGTACTAATAATAGGAATTAAAACGTTTATCAGCAGAGGCTTTTTTTTTTGCATGTAGCAGTAGGTGCTAGTGCGGAATAGTGGCCCCTTCTTACAGGGTCAGGTGATCTAATTCCTGGCTTTCAACCCAGAACTCATTCAACAAATTACCGTTTTTTGTTCTCTCCAGCACTTGGCTGCTTTAATGATTACGTCGCAGCTGATTGGTCAGGTGACCGAGTCTCTGATCCCTTACGTCATGTTTAGAAGCCGTGTTACCAAGGTTACCAAGGAGGGAAAGAAAATTGTAATGAAGTCAGCTGACTTGTCTGACATCGTTGAACGACAAGCAACTCAGGAACAGTACTTGGTATGTTATCGTAAATAGCTATTACTGCAACCTCGTCCCCAGGGTTTAAAAGAGCTGTATCATGCATTTTTACCAAATTCTGCCTCTTTGACTTAGTGGCCGCGCAATTGAGCGGGGTATACCCAATAATCCCGGGTGGGGGGAGGGGGGGGGGTACTCCCTATAAGGGAGGCTCCGCTCATAAGGGGTACCTTTTTCAGGCTTCGGGTGTATAAAAGGGTAGGGATTTCATCAGTTGAAGTACATGACAGGTTGGGGAAATCTGTCATTTCAGTCCGTAAAAGGACCAAAGAGGGCTAAAAGATGAGTTTGAAAGAGGCAAGAAAACTTTTCAGTTTAGTGATTTATTCGTATTAAAAGGCCGAGCATTTAACGCCGTTAAAAGGGATGCCGTGTTCTAAAATAGGTAGTCAAAGGGTCATTTTTTTTATCAGTGTAAGGTATACGAAAGGGGTACCGTTTCTGTCAAAAATGGTATATAAAATGGTAAGGAGAAGTTGGGCCGTATAAAACGCTTGCATCTTGCACCTTGCACCTTGCACCTATCCCGTAGTCATGGTGACCGTTGGTTCGCCACGGACATAGCAGCCCTCTCCCTACATTTAGTTTTGTTTTCAGCTTCTCTTAGGGCGTTGCAAGACTTCAACCCTGTCCACTCAGAGATATTATTCTCCCAACGGAAGGAGGGGCCGACAAAAAAAACGTTTAAGAAACAGTTACGGGACATTTAAACGTCCCAATGAGGTTTTCATTACACCGGTAAAAAAATTTTGAAAACTTGTTCCAGTTTAATGAGAAACCAAAGGGAACGAATATATCTCGAGGCACTTGAAAGCTTGCTCTAATAATTACGTTGATTTAGCTTCAGAAACATTATGTAGTTTCTTTCCTCAGGGCACATTTGCTGATTATCTGGAACTGTTCCTTCAATTTGGTTATACTTTCCTATTTTCCTCTGCCTACCCCATGGCCGCTTTTTGGGCGTTATTAAACAATGTGATTGAGCTTCGAACAGATGCTTTCAAGATGTGTCGCATCTTCCAGCGACCGTTTGCTGAACCCGCAAACTCCATTGGCGCCTGGCAAGTGAGTATTTCTCTCCTTTCTAGCCGGCATATCAATTTCATCGTCAACCACAACGCCGTTAATGTCAGGTGACAAGACACTGCAGGGCTGCAAATTATTATTTTTCCTTGTGAGGGAAATTTTCAACTCAAGCAAAATTTTGGTCAGACAAGACAAAATTATATTGTCGGACATTACTTAATCTTGATTTTTTTCCTCTGTTTGATCATAAAGTTATGCTATGTTTAATTACTCAGGACAGATGAAAAATTGTTAATTGTCATTGATGATTTGAAAGCCGGACATAATGTCCGACCATTGTTGAGATTTTTATTATTGGATGTGGGAAAATTTTGGGCGGCCATTACCCGGTGACCGAATGTTACTTGCAGCCCTGCATTGCAAAGTCATCATTTGGCCTGTCTTAATAAAATCTCTTTTTTCTTTAGTCAAATTGTCTAAGGCGGAGCACTTCCGTCGTCCACCCTAACACATGGGTTATTTTGAAGATTCTGGAAGTTGCTACGCCTCCTTGTTGCGTGAGAATCTTGGCGTTTTGACTTTCAAGACAGTCGTTGTCATTTCCTCTCCTCCTGGCAGGAGGATGCAAACCAACCGTACCCCCTCAAATGGATGGAAATCCAGCTTACGTAACTGACTAGGCGCTTAGTGCGATTTTCGGCGATAGTCGCGGGGCAAGGGGTCATGTAAATTTTTGGTGTGCAGCGGGAAGGATCATGGGAAAGCTTTAAAAGCGCAAACCCATTGCGCTGCGACTTGGGCCGACAATCTCAAGGAGTGCCTCGGTACGAAGAAGAGAGCAGGCAGATTGTCTTAAGAACTTAGGTCCCCTCCACTTTGTTGCGGATTGGTCAACCCTCCATACTTCTCCGATAAAATGAGTTCATGGAAAATGCTGCTTTTCTATAACGCTCTCCGGAGTGGAAAGTTTTGAAAACCCGATTTCTCTTACTCGTGCGGACAGTTGAAACGGAAATTTTTGAAAATGATGGCGTATAAGTGTCTGATATCGAGAGGGTTATAAAGATGTTTCACTGCCATCTTGCCTTTTTTTCTTTAAAATGTTTAAGCTTGTTATTACAGAACACGACTTCATCAGTAGGGCTACACCTTGTTTGATCTGCGTTGCGTTGCTCGTATATTTTTCTATTCGCCTTGATTTCTGTTTTCACGGTTTGTTACTGAATTAAGTGTTTCCATCAAATGTTGTTTATCATTTCAGCCTGCATTTGAAATGCTTGGTGTTATTGCCGTCATCACAAACTGTGCGCTGATTGGCATGGCAGCCAAGAACTCTCATTGGCTGCCTGAAATGTCAACTGTTAATGCCATTCTGATGTTTGTAGCTATCGAGGTAAGAACTCGTTACAGCCTCCTATGTGGCTGTTTTCTTTTACCTCTGCAGCGCAAAGAAGCGTGTGATCGCAAAGGGATCACTTGTGAACTTACCAAACAGCAAACAAACTGGAACGAAGTTATGCGATTGATATAGCTAAAGCGCGGAAGTTCAAATAAAATTCAAATTCAAATATCTTATTATCCACTCCCCTCAGGGCTTTTCAGGGATAATTTACAACACTGATTGGGGGACTTTGTCAGACTGCTTAAGGTGCAGTTTACAAGTAATGAAGGAATTAGTAAAAATGCCCCCATACATGAGTGTGAAAGTGAGATAGACCACTACACCGGGCACTACGTGCCCTACTCTTTACGAAGATTGTGTGGGTTCTTTAACGTCCCACAGAAGAAGTTTAGGGATAGATTAAGATATCTATACACAAAGCAAAGCGAAAGGATTGCTATTTAACAAGTGGTCATTCTCTCTGACGTCACTCTGTTATCAGCACTCTGGTTGGTCAACCGAACAGTGGCATTTCAATATAAGAGTTAGTTTCAGCATTATTTTAACTTGTCGTTGCTAAAAGGACACTTCGAGAAAACGTCGGGGAATAGGCTCGATTACCAGCTACTGAGGATGGCAGAGAAGGGTGAAACTCGAGCCTGAGGGCGTAGGGGAGGGTATGGCCATATGAACCCCAGGGAATAGCCTCGGTTACCTGCCGCTTAGCACCCCAGAGAGGGGCGGAAATCGCGCTTGTGGGGGGCGGGTACGGCCACAATTAGGCTACGTATTCAATCTCAGTATTTGTTTCATTGCAGCACTTTTTACTTGGAATTAAGTTTGTGTTAGCGCTTGTTATCCCGGATGTACCACAGTGGGTACAAGATGAAATGGCTCGGCAACAGTACAAAGCTCAGCTTGCTCTGAGGGTAAGTTCTCACAATCCTTAAAACGTTTAAAGCTTCTTTAACCACATTTTGACGTCATCAGTGATCTATCACTGAACAGACGCACGACAACATGGAATCTCTTTTTTAAACAGTCCATGAAAAATTAGTTTCGATTTGTTTTTTTACAATAACATTGACGGTTTTGACGTCCATTTCTGTGGAAGTTTCTTGGAAAATCGCGCGCGAGAGAAATAGAAAAACAACGTCATTTTCATGGTGCGTACTCTTATCGAACATGGCTCTCGACCAATCAGCGCGCGAGAAATCACTCAGTTATGGTAAACATTAAGTTACTTTAACTATTCCCTATCTTGCTACCTTATGTTCCTCTAGGCACAAAGTGATGACCTGGAAGAAAGAAAGACCGCCTGGAAAGAGACGATGCTTTAACTGATGCATTTATAGGCAGCTTCAGTATAGTGTAGAACATTGCTTAAACAACACGTACGTTTTCTGTTGTCTTTTTAGTGTGTATTCTTTTTATTCGTGTGCATTTTTTTAACAGAGGAAAAAATATGAGATTGCTCAGCAAAAGACTGGCTTAATTAAGATACTTCTTGAGCTACTGCAAATATCAGGGAATCGAAGTCGCCGTTTCTGCGGTTTTTCTCGTTCTATTAGTCGCAGTCTAGGTAAATCTTCTTTGTCCTAAACCATCCTTAATCTCTTATCGTTTATTGTCTTGTCTATTTTATGCACGGCTCTCCCCAGGCCCGCACGGTCCATTTATGTCAGTGACATAACCGACACGAAAGGCCGGGAAAGCTTGAAACCTTCTTTGCGCGCATCACGTGACCCATCCGATACGCTTTGACCGCGCGAAAATTTTGAGGCCGTGGAACTAGGCAATATTGTTAACTCTTCAAAGATTTCCTTTTTAAGACTAAGTAGAAATTTCGAGATTTACTTTGTTAGTTTCAAAATATTTTGAGGTCGTTTACATGGAGGGAGGAAGATCCTAGAAGGCTGAACAACTTTACGTTGGGTTTCATGCAGAACTTTGGTCCGTGTGGTGGGATCTTCCTGGAGCTAAGATCCTCTTCCCTCCATGTAAAAAAGGTCAGCGTTATGTTCGATTGCGTTCACTGTTGTTGGGAAGTGGAGTTGGCTGTCCAAACTGTGGATTAAACAACATCAACAACAACAACAATTTTCGACTACAGCAATCAAACAACTCGATATGCAAGTGTTGTTCAGTAGCTTTTATTCGAATAGTCCAGCAAACTTGGGTTTCATTTACACCTTATGGAAAAAAGGAGGGAACATAGTATTGTTTTGGGTTGCTGTAAGGGTTGTTAAGTGTCTACACATTTTCACGAACCATTTTGTTAGCGAGGGGGGTTAGAGGGGAGATAAAAAATTTTTGCCGGTTACACAGAGCGTAATTCCTTTCAGTTTGACAAACATTTTTATTTGTTGTATATAATATCAATTTGCAGTGACAGTGCAAAGGTGAGAGAAAGTTTCTGAGGCGTTGAATTTTTTTACAGCGATTAGTTGTGTTTTCTTCTAGTTTTACCACTTTATTACTAACTTACGCTTTGTTCCGGCATTCTGCCTAGCTAGAAAACTCTTTCATGTTAAGAGTTTTCATTTTATTCGTTTTTAACTCATAAAAATCAATTAATAGTGACGTAAGGGGGTCGATCTAAAAAAGGAATTGGCGCGATTCCGCGTTAATTATCTCTCCTGAGAGATATGCTTGTAACAATTTTTAGCTGCAGAATTAAAGTTTCATAAATCTTTTATCCACTTTCATTACTTTAGTGTTCTTAATTTCCCATCGGAAGCCCCCTCTCCCGTAGACTTTTCTTGGAAAAAATCTTGTCTTCCCTCTTTCTAACTGTTGTTTGAGTAATCAAACAGCTTAGGATTTCGTAATAGAGCCAACCGGCATGACAGGTGGTCGCTTTGCGAAAGGTGGTCGTTCATGGAATCCTCTTTGCTTGTATCAGATACCTCCTCGCTTGTCTATAAGTGTCGAAAATCGCGAGTAGAAAAAGTCCTGGCGCGTGCCCTCATTTCGAGTTCTTCGTCACCGATCACGGGGAAAACTCGAGAAGAAGAAACGTCGCAGAAAAAGCAACTGAATACTTCTTTGAGGCCTTGACGATAACTGGAACTAAACAGAAAATAAACACACGGATTGATGGCGCTGATGGAATGAGCTACGAAGTACACAATAAACACAGTGTGCTTGCTTCCGCAAAAAGGCAAATTCCACTTGAAGAACTTTAGAAACGCGTATGTTGTAAAGGGGGTCCAACACAGAACAAACACGATTACTATGACAACAGAGAGCTGTAGGACAGCTCTATTACGCTTTTCGCGAAGTTTTCTCGCGTTTTCGTTTAGGTGTTGTCCTGGGATCTGGTGTCTTTTTAAGCGCAAGATAACAGCGCTGTAAAGGGAAGCGATCGTGCACAATGGAAGAATAAAAAGCAAAATGTAGAGTAGGACAAAGTAGATTTTCTGTGCTTGATTGTCGTCCGGGAACGGCGGGGACCAGTTTAGCAAGCAGTACGCTTTACCGTCGCGTACGTAAATTCTATAGATATAGAAGTAAGGCGAGTGAAGCAGCACTGCGATGAACCACACCAATGATATAGTAATCTTTACAGCCTTAAAGCTCATTACCGCTGCTTTAACCGGAGAGAAAACGTTATAGTATCTATCCGCGGCGATAAGCACTAAACTCTGCGTCGACACCGCGGTCGAAACGTCTTGAAAGAGAGCAGCAAGCTTGCACGTGACTAGACCAAAGCTTCCCGGTATCATCCAGCGATTGGCGCCAAAATAAACCGCTGTCATCGTTCGCGGCATAGCAAAAAGTGGTAGTAGCAAATCGGATACAGCCATATTGGCTATTAGAAAATTCGTTGTGGTTCGCAGCCTTGGCGTTTTGTAGATGACCAAAACAATGGCAAAATTACCCATTAGTGACATTAACATGATAATGGCGTATGCCACTGTCTTGCCTGCCTTAGAATCGGCTGTTTCGTTTGTAGTTTCACACTGTGGAAAGCTTGCGTTTTGAACTAAAACGGTTAAGTTCATTGTTGCGCCTTTTAATACTTGCCTTATAATGAACGAGTTGCTTTATTCGCTGTTATAAATTCACCATGTTACAAACGTGCTCTCTGCGTCATAGCACGCCCTGAAATGTTTACACAAACTTGATTAAAATCATTTTAAAATGGGTGGAAATTTTTGTCAATATATCGAGCAGTTTTACAGATTTTAGACAGTGGAGTTTATATATTAATCCCTTCGTTTCTAAATACTTTTAATTTGCGGCATGCTTTATCCATTAAAGGGGTTTTCCTCTTAACTAACTTACATTTTGAATATGACACCCTTCGTTTCGAGTTCACATTTTGAAAAGATGAAAAAATAAAACTTGAAATTTGTCCTCGTTAGTTTTGTGTACTTAATATAAGGAGTGGCTTCTTGGTGAATGTTCATGGCTAATTGGTATAATTTCCATTTGAAAGACTTGATTTTTTTAATTGAAGATTTACGCAGATTCTTTTGAGTCTACGCAGCCCTTCCTAAAAGACAATTATTTGTAGAGCATGAAATGAAAGTTCATAAATTTTGTAAGGAATAAGTTTAACATTTCATTTCCATTAATTGAACGCTTGCCGAAGTATGTAAGTTAAACGACTCAGTTACAACAGTGCGAGGAAAGTCAAATATTCATTTCAAGAAATTTTGGAGAGACAAACAATGTCATAGCAAAAAAACCACCAAACCGCTTTTACCCTAGTGGTACGAATAGTTTATACACAGTCACCAAAGATGAGGGGTAAAATTTATTGCAAGGCTTAGAGAAAGTCAATTTTTGCGCGTGCTTCCAGTCTCCTTCTGATTCAAATTCACCGCACGTTCGTTGTCTCTCTGAGGATTTTCACTGCTTAAATGTCGGATGTACACATGTATTACTTTTGAAACACACTTAATTTCCTCTTTTATGATCTTTGTTTAGAGAAGAGCTAATTTTATTAAGAATGATTAAGTGTGCGGACCGGCCAAAGTAATTACCTGACAAAACAGATGTAGATGAATAGCATGTTGAAATTTTATTTGTAAAGTACCTACAGGCCATTACGTAAAACCTAATTTTCGCAATTTTGTGATGTTCAACCCAGCCATATTCGTTTGATATTTTCCAGACAAAAGTTAATGTCGTTAAATATATTTTTTTAAAAAACGCTGAGATAAAACAGTTTTGACACATTGCGCGTTGTGCGTTATTCTCGAGGCTCGTTGCCGTGCGACTTCGGCGCGCGTGGAGTTGTGGGATGCATTTGGACCAGTTTTTATAACGCGTACTTTGCACCATGTTTTAGTCTAAGATTTTGTCTGTATATCTCATGAATCCTTCTCTAGCAACCCCTTTATTTATCATGAAAAATTAAGCTTGATGAAGCGTGAAGTAGACAGAAGCCGTTCCTCTAGCGACATTACGAGGCTTCGCCGTGTCGCCATGTCGCCATGAAGGGATTTCGTTTTCGGCGCTCCAGCGAAACCAATTTGTACTGTGCGATAAATCATAGAAACAGAGAAGATTGGACAACATCCCGCAAAGGGTCATGGGGGCGAATTATTGAGGAGCTCAGTTACAAAGAAACCGTCGGCAGGACGGATCTCCATGATCCACGTGTTTTCGCCGATTTTAGCCACAATTATGTGTCACTGATGTGTTAGAAAAGAAGCTCTCCTGTATTTAACTAAATAGCTTTAAAACATGTTTAGTTTTTGGGGGAAGGGGCATAAAATCAAGTCACACGACAGGCATTTTGAGAAAGATGCTACAGTTAAATTAAATTAAAAATTAATTAATAAAAAAAGAAAGAAAGAAGAAGGAGAAGAAGAGGAGGAGGAGGAGGGATGCTACAGTCCTACAATGCCACGCGAAGCCCGCGAGAAGCAAGGAGTGTTACTTGAGGGCAAACCAGTCTTCACTCTGTGTACAGTAACAGACATAAGAGTAAAATACAAGCCACTGAGTCGCGAAACCGCAAACATTTTGTCCTTTATTCACCTAAACTTAAATATATTTACAGTACAAGAAGGCGTGACCATATAGATGAATGTCATACATTATTTGCTAACGAAGTTTCTTGTCTTTAACGCCTGTTATATCAGGATACATTCACCGAAATATTTATTTTTACGGCCAAGAAGATTTTTATGCTTGTTTTTAACAAGAAATAGACTACGAGTAGTCCCTATTTTTCCTCAGGGATAGTAGAACGAGCGAAACGCGAGCGCGCGTGAAAATCAGCACAGGCGAGAAAGGCGAGACGCGCCGTGGTCTAAGCAAGAAATTACCTTTATAACCTTGTCCTCATCCGTGCATTATCAAGTTATGTACGAAAGGTGGAATCTTAACCCTTCCCCACCCAACTCATCACCTCCGAAAAACATGCGGATGCAGCTCCTTAAGTGTTTTTCCCGGATTCCCTCTCACTCGAAACGTTCCGCTCTCACTCGTAATCTGATCACGCGTGTTTTTACCATCTGTCAAGTGAAACTTACGCAGGCACAGCGTTGGAGCAAAAGAGTTTTAACCTTCCATCGTTGATGCCCGTTTGTCGTAACCATTGGTTATTGACTAGTTTAATGAATATTATGGCCATGACTAATTACGTTAAACTCTGGTGTTGCTATTGAAGGTGCTTTACTAACTAACGATGCAAAACTATAGTCTAGCCAGGAAAAATATTGAATATTTGTCTCAGACACAATAACAGCACCAACGTTCTCAGATAAGGTAGACGTTCACAGCTCTTCTACTTTATTCGATGAACACGCGAACTGGAAACAGACGTTTCGCACTTGTTTCGCTTGCTATTTGTCGCCTTCCTTCCACTATGCGTTGAGAAGAAAAAAAGAAGGAAATGAGCTTTCTTCAATGAAAGTGGGGCATTTATGACTGCTAGAGAAGTGTGACGTCACGAAAATTCGAGTTTGTGAAATTATGGGATAGGTTGGCATAAAGGAGAAAGAAGAAACTTTTGCGCCTTTGCTGTCGAATTGTCGAAAAAAACCGAAACAATACAGAACAGAAAACAAAAACAAAACAATCAAATTAAAAAAGGAAGGAAAAGAAAAGAAAAACGTCTGTGGACCGACTACCTTACCCCTAGATAACTACCTTCTCGCAGTTCGCGATAACTACCTGTCTCGCGTTTAAAACAAAAAGGTTGTCTTACAAACCGACCGAGTATGGGACGGTTTATTCACTGGGCTATGCCCGAAGACAATGGATTAAGAGTTTTTTTGTTTGACCACTACCGAACAGTAGGCAAACACCTGAGAGCAAGGATTTAAGTAAGTGGAGTATGCGCCCCCTGTTAAGTATTAGCTATTGAAAAGCCTAAGTAAGTAAGTAAGTACATAGTAGACAAAGTAATGAGCACAGTGTTTTCTAGACTTCGTGAAAGGCATAGCTCGCACGCCGCGAGGGTCCGGACGAGAAGGGTGAAAACCAAGAAATAGAAAAATATCCTCCAAATACATCTTGCAGATTTTCATACCTGCGAAGAAACGAGAAAAAAAGTAATGATTCTAAGGGAAAAGGTTACTGAACAAATTGGTTTTCAATGGTGTAGAAAAACCAGTTCGAAAGTGTTTACAAAAATGCGCGAGGGGAGGGGAGGGGAGGGGATGCTCGTCATCTACCCTAGCCGTGTAAATTGTAGATTTTAGTCTTAGTTCAGGACGGAAAGCCAATATTTTTGCCCACAGGTATATGGTTTTGCGTAAAGAAATACCCATATAAAGAACAATCCTGACATACTGTATGGAGTCTTGGGGCAGGGAGGGGTACTTAGGGGAAGTACCTATCCGGCTGACTCCTTCCTAGTTGTCTCCTTACTCAGCCTACGTGGCAGGCGTTCGAAAGGGAAAAAAAAGGGGATTTTAGGCAAGAGAGAAGTGTCTTCTCCCTCGCGCCAAATTTCATCCCTCTTAAATGACAGAGACCTTTGGATTCGGGGACGAAGACGAGATTTAACTTGGGGCGAGAGAGACTCTTGCTGGGGAGAAAATAGAGTGCATTATGGGGGATTCGAGGTAGAGAATAGTTCCTACTTGATTGTACTGTTTGTGACTCTGCGAGTAGTAGAGGTTTCTTTCTTGCATGGCTTTTAGCGTTTACGAAGTCGTTTGTGTGGCTCGTCAGTTGCTTAGTTGGTTTGTTTTCTCTCGGGGGCGTAAAAAAACTGACAGTGACGCAAATGACTTCGTAAATGCTAAAAGCAATGCCAGAAAGAAACTTCTGCTCGCAGGGTAACAAACGTGCAACAAAATAACTTGTTTCCGGCTTCAGAGCTCGGTTGAAGCCTGCGCCACTTTCAGATTGGTGTCTTTTGGGGTTAATTGCGATTCAGTTGTTTTAAAAACAGTTCTTTTGTCTAAATAATTATTAGTCGACTTTTGACCACGTTACTTGGGCGAATGGGTAAATAAACAAGTCAAAGAATGTAAAGGAATTTGCATGTTGACATTGCAACCAAAAACAGTCAGTATGCATTCCATCAATTCTGCAATCCACACTTACACTGTGTTCTTTCTAGATATTCTTTCCTTCTTTAAATTTTCTATCCCCTGTGGAAAAGTAACAAAAAACGTAAAATTATTATTGTTGTATTTCTTCAAACCCTTAAATTTTTCAGTCTTACCGCTGGTGTTGCCCTCTATGCAGACGATCTTTTGGTTTTCACGCAATCGTTCCCATTGTCTGCCTTGTGGCAACGTTTACAGGAGCCTATAACCCCAACTTCCATGCTAGCCTGCGTGCCAGGCGTTCGAAAGGGAAGGAGAAGGGAATTAAGGCGCGAGACCACGCGCGAGGGAGGAGATTCCTGTCATAGCGTTTTCACAGACTAGCATATTAATTAATTTTTTATCTCGATTTTAGAGCGAATTTAGACCATTGCGTAAGTTATACAAACGTTCATACCGACGTTACCCTATGTGCAGACGTACTTTTAGCTTTTACACATTCCTTCCCAGTGTCTGCCTAGGTGGCTACGTTGATTTAAGCCGTGTCAGGAGCCTATAAACCGAAGCGAACAACTTCCATGCATTCGTGTCATAGCGTTTTCACAGACAAGCTTATTTTTAGATTGATTTCAGTGCGAATGAAAAGGTATAGACCGACGGAAGTGCAAGTTCCATTTTTGCGGGAGAAAGTAGTCTAAATTGTGTCTAAAAATAGACCGGTCTAAGAAAACGCCGCGACATACGTCTGCACAGTATGAGAGTTGCTCACTCCGTCGGGTTATGGGCTCTAGGCCGCGTGTTTCATATCTCGACAATTTAAAGAATACCTTTGAAGACTTTGAATTAGCATCGGGCGCGCGCCTCATATAAAGAAGAAAAATCATGAAAAAAAAAAATGAACAAATTGTGACCAATTACTGTGTCACTCGCAATTCTTCGAGCATTTAAAGTCTCTTTCTGCCAGGCTAACTATTATTAAATAGAAACTTCGGGCCAGATACATCCCTCTATCTAATACAGGCAAAATATTCACAGACGTACCGTTTCATCTTTGACAATGGAAGAGACTTGAGTACAAAACATAACAAGCGTAAAAATTCCAAACAACAATCCCTCAAACACTAGAAATATCATTAACAGAATGGCAGACGCGATTGGTAAAAATGTACAATCTGCTGGGATAAAAAAGAAAGTGAACAATAATTTTAGTATTATGGAAGGAGTGGGTACTAGTCATATAAAGACCTCATGGGTGTAGTGTGGGTATTGGTTACAGGGGAGCATTACAAGGGATGGTGTGGGCACCCTGTGAGCAGACGCCTCTTCTTGTCTTTTTGAGTGAAGAGGACAAAATGAGGCTCTGCCTGAATCACATTACGCCTTTGAAGTCAATGCAGCCTGACCTTCTGGACAAGTCAATCTTGTTTTCTCTCATCAAACTGGTTTTTTAGGGTGAGAGCATCTAGTCATTTATAAAACAATGGTCATAACTGACCCCTTTGTGCCGAGTGCACAGCTATAAGGCCTGGGTTTGAAACTGTATCGTAGCAACATGCAGTGTATGCTCAACAAAGATCTTGCTCAATTCATGCAGAGTCAGTTTCTTGATCATACCCTTGAGTATGCCGAAATGGAGTAAGCAAAAGAACACACTGATAGCAGCTGGGTGGGTGTGGGTAGTGGCGTTAAAATGGTCCTGGTCTTGGTCCTTGTAGGATAACTGAGGGGGTAGTTGGGAACAGAAACAGCTAATAAGAAGAGGTGGATAATGACAACATAGCAGGGGTGGAGTGAGTAGAAGCAACAGAAAATAATGGAGAAAGAAAGAGATATAGATCCTTTGGGTCATTCTGCCTGAATGGGTCATTTGCATGGAGGCGTCATTTTTGCTGCTATTACTGGTCAGAATCCATTTTTTTCTTTCCTTCTTTTACTTAAATTTGGTAATCCTGGCAACGTTTAAACAACAAAAGCCCTGACCTGCATAATAAAGGAAAACCCTGAAGGATTCTGGTAGTAGTTAAGTCAAAAGATGTCATTGGCAAATTGCCTTTAGCAATAATTTTATTTGTGATTGAAAGGGCTAGCCTTGGATTGTGTGCATGCATTTAATTCTAAAAATACTAGATTGATGGTCAGATGTTAGAGTGCTTAATGTTGATGTTGTTATTGCACTTTAATGGTTATAGTGGCAGGCTATAGAAATATTTAAATGGTTACACAGACTTTTAAGGTGTTAGTATAGTGGAAATCTTTCTCACCTTGCCATTCTTTCTCTGTACAAATGAACAGCTGTCTGATTGTTAAAGCTAGAGCATACACTGATATTGTAAAAATGTAGAGCTGCAAAAACAAAGACCCACAACACTCTTAACTTGACAAAAATGGTATTTCTGACAGGGCGCATATGTGTACACTATTTTTTTACCCACACAGACCAGAGGACTGGGTCCACTGAAAAGAAATAATGGGTAGCCATCTAGGATCTGTACTGTTATTCATTATAGGTCAGTATTCACTCAAGCTCCAAATATGTTTTTTTTTGCTAATTTTGTTATAATATTATGTGTTTATAGGCATTTGGCAGTTGCTTAGTTTCCTCGTACCTCTACCGCCGAGTTGTCAGCACCACAGCTGATTTCAGCAGGCAGGGGTATACATTCTCTTTTTTCCTGCTAGTGCTTTTGGCAGTGTCAATACTTAATTTCTATATAAGGTTTGTTTTATGTCTTGGTGGGTTTTGCAATCAAGCACACACTTATAATCTTACAATACTTTATTAATAAACTGACTTTGAGGTCCTCATAAAGGCCCCTGTTTCTACTTTTGTGTGTGTGTGTGTGTTTTTTTCTGGATAGTGTTGGCAAAATCAATAAAATGTTACATGAACTTGCAAACAAAATTACCCAAAAAGATTAAGGGCTCACTCAACCTGAATAACAAAAGATACAATAGTTAATTACTCACCGTGAATAAAACAAAAAATTTTTGATTATCTTCACCAACACAATTATTAATCCTATAAGAAAAACAAAGAGGGAGCAGTAATTAACTCAAGATTATACAGAAAAAGAGATAGTTCATTAATAGAAGGACAAGAGGTTGGATGAAAATTGAACCGAGCCGGAAAGTATTCCTGCAGTTTTTTTCTTTCTAAAAAGTTTTCTTAAAAAATACTTTGCTAAAAAATGTTCTCTAATGAACATATAGTGTTATTATTGTTATAAATTTGTAATAAATACAAAAGCATTTGTATGCCTTACCATGGACAGTGATGATCCATTTTTCTGGCAAAATAGAGAGTGAAAACAAAACCAGAATTAACTTCCTAGACTAAAAGTCTTCTTAAAAAAACCTTGGGATAGTTTTCAGAACACTGTAGACCTTTCCTGGCTGAATGCAAGTTTGTACTAAGAATTTGCTGCATACTGACAAGTATGTTATAAGTGGAATCAAGGGTGGGCAGGTTTGATACAACCCTTCCTGCTTTCTTATGTAAACCATAGTAACATCCTAATCCCCATGCTGTTCATATATATTTTCCAGAAGATAAGTGGCAAGGTTTTTATCGAAACAAGCAATTTCGACTCAGCCTTAGATTCACTCAAAGTTGTGGTACTAGGCACACAACTGTTAAGCTAAAATGGTCTGTAATCTGATCTGGTTTGCTAGTCTTTCCAGCAGGGGTTTTTGGCAACTGGTGGGGTGTGAACCCACATGTAACTCAATAAAAGAATAAGCACATAATTATTATCTGCTTCAGGAAGAGAAATTGGGATTAAAGAACAAAGATCAAAGGGGAACGTTGATCCTAAAAGTGTTGAAAAAAACCACTGGGAATAAGGTCAAACCCAGAGAGGCACTACAGAGGTAGAGAAAATACTATTATCGCAGAATATAAGATGTTAAAATGTGGAGATCTTTATAGTGTATATCAGAAAAAAAAAACAATGAAAGACTTACCTAATGCATCTCTCACAAGTGCTAAGAGCAAAGACAAAAAGAGCAGAAGTGAGTAAAACCTCCATAAATATATCATTGTACCTCTGCAACCATATTGAGTATTAAATACCTTAAATATAATATTAACATCACTACTCTATTATCAGATCAAAGTACATTCAGCAGTAGCAAATTGCAGTGGAGAGCAATCAGAGCCCCTATGGCAATAAAATAATATATGTTGTAGTTAATTTTTTATCCCAGGTAATTTTTTTCTTTTGTTTCAACTTCATTAGCATACATTACCATACCCAAAAGCGAAAGAAAAACAGAAATTACCTGAGATAAAAAATTAACTACAACATATACAGAAACATATATACCTACTCTCTCCATATGGCAATAAAAAGATATTGTAACCTTTTGATGAGAAAAATTTTGGTTGGCCATTTGACTATACATACAGTGTATGACTGACTGTCTAACAGGTCAATTAACTGTCCTCACTGGCCTTGTAAGCCAGTTTGACATTCTACGCTAAAACAAACATGTCAACAGTCACATTAAAATGACAATTAATGCTACCACTTTTCTGAGAGTCTTACATTGTTGTATATACCATCCACATCAAAATAAAATGACAGCTGCTACAATAAGGCAATTGCTGACTGGTATCACATGGCCATATCCTGAGCTCGGGTGCCCTTACCATCGAGGCAATCTATTTTTGGAAGTTTCTGATATTGCAAGCTAAACTTTATATTCAACCTTCCATAGGGGTACCAAATTGAACAACATGAAATGACAGTAACCTTGAGATGCTATTGGGTGATTCCAGAAAATATCCATACCCTACCACGGGTGGCATGAGTATTTTAACCCCCCCTTGCCCTCGGAAATTCCAAAATGCTTATCCCCCCCTTGCCCTCCGAATTCCAAAATCGCTAACCCCTCCTCTCCTCTGGAATTTTCCACTTTTGTTTCAGACCCTTTGGAATTCCTGTTCTTCTGCCTAAATCTTCAAAGGAACGAGAAACTTGCACTTTTTCCCTCTGCAAAAGAATTCTGTTCACAATTTTTAGTCAGACGATCAAGCAACTCAAGTTTGTTAACGTTAGTACACCGTAGCTATTCCTTCTAAGCATTATCTTTAAGATGCTTACCACCTAATAGAACTCTTTGTTTTCCATTCAATACCGTCATATTTTCAGGAGTAGATCGTATTGATACCAGTGGACACTGACAAGAGTAAAGTTTACGATCGATATTCCGTCACCCGCCGTATTGAAAATTTCCCTCATTGATTAACTGCTGACCACTAGTTATGCAGCATACGTTTTACAAGCAGAACACAACGAGTACGAACGGACCGAATGGGTACAACATGTACAACATATTTTTAAACCCATAGTTCTACAATAACCCTTAGGGGCGAAAACAATGTTTCACATGTATATGCTTACGTTGCATTTGAAACATAATTTTGTAAATTCAAGACAGAAATGAATCTTTCACTTTCTCAAAGACAACAAGATATACTCGTGAGTACTTTCATGACCGGTAAACAGTTGTTTGTATATTGCCTTTATATTTATAAATACAATTTTGTCTTGCAATCGCATAATCCAGTCCGAATGTTGTACTTGCACAAAGCTTCAAATAATTGTCTTAATAGTGAAAATAATCTCCTTGACTATGATCAGTAGAGACACCGAGCTGACGTAGCAAATTTCGAAAATTGTGCAGAACCGCCGTAAAATGAAACAAATTTGTTGACTGTAACATTAATGAAAATCAAGTCTTCCTTCCGCTAGACACCAGCGCATCAAAAGGCACGCTGTCTGATTTTACTACCTACATGTTGGCGTGAAAATCGGCGTGAAATACAAAATCTGTCAGGCGTTCTATTTGGAAACGAGAGACTGGTGCGAGTTTTCAGCACGCAACAACACATCGTCGATCGACAATCGGCGAGAAACACCGACTTGGTTATATTTTTATTAATCAGTTGACTAATTCATCAACTTTAAGGCCTCTTCGATGTGGAGCTTGCTGCACAACCCATCGGCTTACCCATCTGCATGAACGCATACTTCTTCCGTGGTCGGTTCGTGCTTCATTTACAAACTGGGAATGTTAACAGGTCAGCGATTTCAAGCGGAGCTTTCGCCGTCTTTCCTCTGGAAATTCACTGAATTCAGAGCTGAAACACCCCCCCATGCCTTTGGAATTCCAAACTGCGTTACCCCCCCACGTCTTCGGAATTCCAGTCCAAGAAACCCCCCCTCTCCCTCGGAATTCCAAGATGCCGCCCGTGGTATGGTATGGATATTTTCTGGAATCACCCATTAGGATGAACCAGCTTAAGTACCTAATTAGAAAATGGTAATTTACCCTTAAACCAATTTACATAACAATAACTGAGACTCTACACAGTCTGCTAAATCTGCCATTATTTCCACCAGGAGGAGAGAATCAAGCCCATGATCTTCTGGATGAGTGGTCTATATCTCCTTGATTTAAGACAAGTTGAAATCAACCTAATTGCAACACATGCAAAGTCCCAGGTTTTCCCGGCAGTGCAATGCGGTATTGTAAACCAAATCCCCCAATAAGTCCCCATACGAAGTTGTATTTGCCTGGAGATCCCCCTGGGGATGAAAGGTTCATAAGTGATAACATTAGTACAGTACCTGCAATGATGTGCACGATCAAGCTTTATACACTCACATCTGGTACATCTAAGCACCACTTCTCCTTCCTTGAGCTGCAGTTTCTTTAAATTTTCAGTGGTACAATTTCCTAAAGGGATACTTCCCTAAAAGAATAAATAAAAACAGAAAAATGCATTAGTATATCCAAATAAAGATTGTTAGCTAAGCTTTGCTAAGCTTTTTAATATGGCTTTTATTGATCCACACTGATTTAACTTTCGGTTGGTCAGTCTACCTGATACCAAATAAAACAGAGTAAAATAATAGCAAAATATATTTTCAAAAGAAAAAAAATGCTCTAAACAAAATGTATCACTAAAAGTATGCTACATTTGAAAAACATGACAATCATATGCACGAACTGCGATACAATATATAGGATGACATCGACAAAATTTCTAATTTCAGTTTGTTTGTCTGTTTTGTATTCTTTCCACTTAGAGATCTTCGGGCAGCAACTGAAACTTTAAAGCTTCACTATCATGAGACCCTTACGTTAAAAACAGCAAATATCAGAACATAACTCTTGAACGCAAACATACTCATGTCAATACATTACAATTAATTCGCAGCTGGTAGACTAAATCTGCAGACAGTTAAATGGTCGGCGCTCTTAAGAGCCCAGCAAGTAATATGATCTTGCGACTTCCCTTTAACAGGTTTCTATCGAAAGGAAAAGTACTTACAGGATCACTGCACATCGCTCTACTATGAGCAACAAGAGCCAGACACGCAAAAAAAGTAAAAGCGGTGGCGTGGAACAGGCCAAAAGCAGCTGCTCGGACAACTTCGGGTAAAAGCATGACAAAAACAACGACAAATTCGGCATAACCTATAAGCAAATACGTGAAAATTGCACAACCAATACCAACACCATCATTCACGAACCAAGAGAATTTACAACACTTGGATCTGCGGCCCATGATCGCCGCTACACAAACGGAAGTGCAATATGTGTTTTACGACGAGACGCGATCGCCATTTTGCAATTTGCATATGCGGCATGAACTGAGCCCGCGTTCAAATTCGATTACCTCTTCTTGTTGTCATAACAACGGTACATTCATCCGGGATATAGAGGTTTGAGTGTTGTCTCGAAGCAACAAAAGTGCTAAACTTATCTTCTTGGGAAAGCTGATACAGAATGCCTGAGCAATCGGCTGAAATTCAGCCGGAGACTAAAGAAACAGAGCTCGAGGATGGCACTATCGATAAAGAACAAGATGGTAAGTCGACAGAGAAAGAGCCTGAAGGAGATGACAACAAAAAGAAAGAACCACATGATGCTATGAGAAATGAACCTTACCTTGTTGATTTGATCGTTGAATCGTACCTTGGAGAGAAAGACGAGCGCGGTTTCTTTCATGGCATCGGAACGGCTTACTTCAAAGGAAACCATGTTTACTCTGGCTCGTTTGTTAATGGACTGATGGATGGGACAGGGCAATATATTTGGTCAAATGGTATAAAATATGAGGGCGAGTTCAAAAACAACGACATAGAAGGCAGGGGAACATACACCTGGCCGGACGAAAGCACGTACGAGGGTGAGGTGATGGGTGGCCTTAGGCATGGTCAGGGCACCTATAATTGTGGAACAATTCCTTCTTCCTATACTGGAGAGTGGAAATATGGCAAGCGCTCGGGAGAAGGGATTTTGCGTTATGATAAAGAAGGGTTGTCATACTATGACGGCCATTGGATGGATAATAATAGACACGGGTTTGGAATGAGGAGGTATGCCTCAGGGAATATATACAAAGGAGACTGGAGAGACAATGTAAGGCATGGTATGGGAACCATGCACTGGTACAATAAGAACGAGAGATACGAAGGACGGTGGGAAAATGGTATTCAACATGGCCATGGAGAACATTCCTGGTATTTGAAGCGCATCCCGGGATCCCAATACCCACTGCGTAATTACTATGTTGGTGAGTGGGTTAATGGCATGCGACATGGCCATGGGACATTCTACTATGCTACTGGTGCTAAGTATGTGGGAGAGTGGATGAACAACATGAAACATGGACATGGGAAATATATATTCAAGAACGGCTTGGTATTTGAAGGTGTGTATAAAATGGAGCAATGGAGAGGAGAAGTTATTATGTCACCTTGCCATGGTAGCCAAATTTCTGGATCTCTAAAAACCATAATCCTGCAAATATGGCAGATAAAAAAGAAAAAATTACCATATAGGACCTTCCCGTCCACGATTGCAATCAGGAACAAAATGGGAGCGAGTAATTTTCTTTCATCATTCGACAATGCAAATGGCCATCCCTGTTAAGAACCAGAAATTTTGCTACAATGGTAGCATAACATGATACTTCTCCTCACTGTTAACCATGTAAAAATAGGTCTTTAATGTTCTACAATCTCCACTGCACATCACATAATATTACCTCTTTTACAGCTGCACTAATAAATAAAAGCCATTCTCTGGTTTTCCTGGGCCAAGTTAAATGTAGAATGAAGAACATTAGCAAAAATTCCATGCTTAAGGTGGATTTTTGCTGTTGTATAGTTTTCAAATGTGTACTGCAGGTAAACATAAACTTGCTTGAGTGCATAAATAAAATAATACAGATGATGTGTGAGAGCTCATGGGTCAAAGTTTAAAGTTTCTCAACTTAAAAATATTGAGCTGCATGTAGAAGAGGGGTAGGTGGGCTTTTGTTCAGTAGTACAGTACTCTCCCCGCTGGGACTTGAAATGACCTGAAATTCATCCGATTGCTTCAAGTCGTTTTCTCCTCTCAACAACGTCTGAATCGACTGGCCGTTAATGCCGTCCAGTGACGTCACCCACTACCCCAAAACCGGGTAGTGATTTTGATTGGTTGATTGTCTAAACATTCGCATAATTATGTATAATTATGAAAAATTTTAGCGGGATTGTCGCTTGATATTCAGCGGATCGCATCCCTGGCATTCTTTCGTTTAGTTCAAACATTTCGATAAGCTTAATCTTTATCTTAAACAGCAAAATAATTATTGCCCTTGTCTTCAAAACTGAAATGCTAAATTGAACTGCGAATGAAGAATCATTGCGGAGAGTCGGTAGGTTTTTCATTTAGAGCCGCTTTGTGGTTTCCGCGGCAGGTGATTTTGTTTACGCGAAAGAAGTTTTCTGAGATCAATGTTATCAGTCGACCTTCTTGTTATTTTTACCGTCAAGTGTAATGATTCTGTTAGCCGTTTTCTTTCTTGTCTCCTTGGTTTTTTTTCTTAGTTAAAGACCAAACAGCTTCTTTTCAATTAAAGCAAATCATTGTGTTTTTGATCTAAGTGTTGCGTGTGTGTGTTTATCTCATTGCGTGATTGCGACCGAGTTTGATTATAGAATTTAGTACGACCGGTTCAGAGTTGTACTGCATGCAGTTGATAGTTTGAAGGTTAAACATGAATTACGATGGAAAAAAATGAAGCAGTTCTGTATGATGCAGACATTTCCAAACAATATTTCTCAGTTTGCCACTTGAAAATCGTGTTTTACTTTTTGCATTAATTAAAGCCAAGGTCAAGGAGTAGTGACGTCACTGGACGGCATTAACGGCCGGTCGATTCAGACGTTACTGAGGGAGTAATAACGACTCAAAGTAATCGGATGAAATTCAGGCTAGCTGGGACTCCCATATAAAAGTGACAGGGATGTTCGTTGTTTCGCTTATTGGGTGTAAATTGTAGATTTTGGTCTCACTTAGGGCGTTTGGGATGGAAGTCACCATATTTGCCCATTCAGGTATGGTCCCCAGGAGTTCTCTCTTGTCTGATTTATTTCGCAAATTGCAGGTACTTTTGAGCTGGATCATATGCTGGACTTCCCTGATATTAATCCATCAGGAATGATGACACCAGACATCACAAGTTCAGGGCTTCCTGTTCGACCTGGCACTCCGCTGGCACGATCAGCATCACCTTTTATTGGCTCAGAAACCTCTGGAAACCCACTCAACTTGAGTATTGACCTGCTTCTGGATGAGAGGGATCTTGATTTGTATGAACGAGATGAGGAACTTCAGCGCGTCACCTATGTCATGCTGAGACATGTCAGTAAGCTGAAGAAGATCTACAGTTACTACTCTTGTCTTGGCCAGCAGGAGTCTGTTGACAACACATTTGTCATGAGTCGGCTTCAGTTTTGGCGCTTCCTAAAGGACTGCAAAGTTCATCACCATGGATTCACCATATCAGAGTTAGACCGAACCATTGCCCCTCAGAAAGGAAGTGATGTCCACGAACCTCAACATGAGGTGCTTATGCGAGAGTTTTTGAATGCAATAGTCATCATTGCCTACCACCTGTATCAAGAGGACCACCAAGGCAGTGAGCGTCTCCTCCCATGGTGTGTGTCACGGCTCATAACTGAAAACATTCTGAAAAATGCTTGCAAAGTTGGAGGCGCCCTGTTTGCCGATTCCTCAAGAGCTGTTGAAGCTGTTAAGTATATGTCCAAAAGCTGGGATATTTTCTGTGAGCATTGTGTACCTAACATACGGTATCCACATGAGCCAATCTTCAAATCCAGGCAGTTTGTGTTTATGCTCAATGATTTTCGACTTATAAACACAGAGTTGAGCCCCAAGGAGGTACTAACGATCCTGGCAAAGGATAACCCAGAACTAGCACAAGATGATTTCTGTAATCTGGAGCTTGAGATGACATTTCTGGAGTTTTTTGAAGCTGTTATTGATTGTGCTACAGTGTATGTAACAGATTCAGTTATCAAAGGACATCTGTCACCAAAAGGAACCCCAGCACCTTCTTCAAGATCACAGAGTGCGGCAAGTTTTACTCCAGCTACTTCAAAGCCAGGATTAGAAAGCCCAGATGAAGGTACAGAAATCTTAATCAAAAATAACATGCACCATGTTTCAATAAAGCCTAACAAAATGTACAGTGTGCTTATGCCTTCCAGATTTGCCTCCTGTGAACTGCTGCTCATAAGTTTTCTTCACTTGAAAAAATAGAAAATTTAAAATAATCTAAAATTTGACTTATCATTTTGGCATATACTGTGACCACAATGTAATCACTGAAGAGTGGCTGCACTCCCAATTTCCGGCAGTGTGATTTGCTACTTACAGCAAAGGTCAAAATGTGATAAGACTTCAAATTTCATTTTGTGACATGTTGAAAAACAAACAACGCCATGTGAAAGTACTTGCAAAACGGATTTTTTTGTATGGTCGCACCACAGGATTTTGTCCACTCTGCAATTAAAAGGGTTGCCCATGTGGGTTGCCTATAAACCTTTATTGCTCATCTGACTTAGCCTCACTGTGTCCTTTATTGTCAAAATAGATCAATACCAGGTGGTGAACTCAGCTGCTGAGACCCCTGCCGAGAGGGAGTCACCTGAAAGGGTGTCAAGGGTCATGTCTGGAGTGTCAGAACCCAAGTCTGGTCCTGAATCACCGACAAAAAGCAGGGAAGCTGCCCCTCCTGCACATACCACTTCTGGTAGGTGTTTATAAGTTAATGCAATGCTAAATTAATTTAATGCCCTCCTTCGGAAAAAAAAAAAAACGCCACCCCTTTGAATTAGTGTCCCACTAAAGTTTAAGAATGTAAGATTAAGCACCCCATCCAAATAATACCCTGCCCAACCTCCCTCCAAGAAAGAAAAATTTATGGAATTTTCGGTATAGAAGTAAAGATAAAGATATTTTTTTACGAGTGCTAAAACTATATTCATATTCTAAAGCACTGAATACATGCAGACATATGCAAACACATAATAAATAGTTGGCATAGAGAAAATGAAAACAAAACAGTGAAATCACTTGACAACAAAATCATACAGTGTTCATTGATTTATACATAGTGCATTAAAATTTAATGATAGGTTGGGCAGATGCCAGTCTACAGAGCCATTAAGTATTTTGCAAATGGAATACAATGATTTCAAAACCAGGCCCTGGTTGTTCAAACACTGGATAGCGCTATCTAGTGGATAAATCACTATCCAGCAGATAAGTGTTAGCAAAACCATTGCACCATCCACTGGACAGAGGTTTATCCAATGGATAGCACTATCCATCTTTTGAACAACTGGGCCCAGAACTTAGAGGAACCTAGAGGAAAAAGACATTTAGAGCAACCACACACAGATTTGTGTTTCTGTTTACAGATTTCTATAGCTTACTATTAATGACAGTCTGTATTTATTGGAAATATTTAGGCAATGTTACTTTGAGGTTGAAATTTGAAAAACAAAATAACCGCCCGCTTCAAACAAGGTCTGCCCTTCCAATGTTTTTGCCTCCCCACTCTTGTTTTAGAAAATTTGAAAGGTAAGCACTCCAAGCCCTAAAACATTACAAAAACCTCCACTAATGGCCACCTATGTTTAAAGGCCATTTTTTTTCTGTCCCGGTGGACACATTTTCTGTTCATTGACTCTTGTTAAAACTTCTCTACAACGGCCACCTCTTAAGGTAATTCCCTTGTTTTCCACTGCGCACCCTCTACTGCGCATGACATTGTGACATCCAAGATGGCGGCGGTTCTTCCCACTAGCGCAAAAAGAACAAACAAGGGACGTTTTTGCAGAGCTACAGCTTTTATTCGCAATAATAATGCCGCAGATAGGGTGACAGCTTCCTGGTCTGCTATCGAAAGACAAGAAAATGAAAGAAATGTGTGTGATCTCGAACTCTGCAGTGGTTTTTCACTTCGCAGCCGTCGAGTTGTGGAATTGTTAAAATGTCCTGGCCGAGGCTTTGGATTATTGGGGCTGTGACGCCTGTGGGACAGCTCTACGGCTCTCAAACTGCATTAAGGAGCCAGTTTCTGGCCCAGGATCGCTACTGTAAATACGTTTCTCAAACTCCGAGAGTGGAGAGACGGATATTTCTGCCTTTCTGGAACAAAGAATACCCACCGCTAGTAGCACCAGTTTTCGTGTTGGAGACCAGTCTCCAACATGAACTTTACTACTGAATTCACATTTTGCTGTGTATAGAAACCAAACAAGCGAACATATGAAGAAGAGGCATCAATAGTCCTTTCTTCAAGTTTCTTTGTCAGACATTATTGTGCTCACTGAAATTAAACAGAACGCTGGCGCTACAAAATAGTCCAAAATGAAGATTCATAACTCCAAAATCTCATCAAATCTTGACTTACCTCATTCCTTGGTATTTAATGTACTCTTTTCAAGTTTGAATTTCTGTGTTGGCGATATCAAACACAGAAAAACAACCAAAAACGAGCTTGATCTCGAGTGCATACTTCTAACACGATGGGCGTTATTTTGTATCTCGCCCCAGTCCCCGCCGTGCAAATAATTTATCCATCCTGACTGCGATCTCAAAACCATGTCCACCTTTCACAGCAGTTTGTGAGGAAACAAGCACGGTGACCCCCGATTATTTTCCCAGATATTTGCTAAGAACAGTCCAATAAAGAACATATTTGAAAAAGAAAAAAAGTTTGATAGTAGAACATGATTTTTTGGGGGAAATGTTTCGTATTTGGTGTATTTGGGTCAAGGTGAGGATTCAAGCTAACCACGGAACTGTCCGAAAAAGTGCAATATCCCCGCAACCAGGCAATCAAAAACGAATTAAATGAAGCAATACTGCTTATTTGAATAAAAGAAGCTTTATATTCAAGATAAAAAATGTCTGTTTCAAGTAACAAAGACTTAATTCCGTAAGAAGGGGATTAGAATTTTTAACGTGCAGCCAGTAAAAATATCCCAGTTTAAGAGCTTGTTGACATGTAAACAAGCACGGTGACCCCATCTTTTTATTGCATTTTTTTAATGTTCATATCATGAATGTTGATTATGCCAAGTTTCAAAAAAGAGTTTGATAGTAGAACATTTTCAAGGGAATTACCTTAATGGTTTCTTCTGTCCGTAAGGTGGCCATTGTGGAGATCGAGGTTATTGATTCACCTGTAGTATCGATCACAACGTTTCTCAAATGTTTCTCACAGCAAAAAGTACTGAGCTTCTACCTAATTCACAAGAGGGCAGTAAGAAAATTCAATCAGTGCACTCCAGTGCCAATGTCGTACAGCAGTCTGGTGGACCTGCAGGATTTGGAGAAGGAGAAACTGATAATCTTCCTGGTTTGTTTATTAATTTTTATGCTCTGAAAATTAATGTTTTTGTCCATCTGTGATTTTTGAAACCTATTTTTTGTAATATTTTTTCCCATTTAGAGAGGAGAAATGTGACATCATGTTACCCCGGCTGCAAAATTTCTGTATCTCAACAATCTATCTTGGTAGAGACAGCCATTTGCATTGTTGAATGATGAAAGAAAAGTATGGGCTACCCCTTTGTTCCTGAGTGCAATCGTGCAGTGGATCGAAAGTCATGCATGTCAATTTTTTTGTTTTTTCTGTCATATTTTCAGGACCATGGTTTGTTAAGATCCAGAAATTTTGTTACCATTGCAATGTGACATAACAACTGCTCCTATCCATTATAATTCCCCCTTTTTCTGTCCAGGAACTCTGCAATATTTTATTTGACCACCCTGTTATCATGAGTCATTTTTTCTTTTCTTGTCCAGACAAAGTTCAGTCATTTCTTTATCTTGCTGCCAACCCCAGGAATACAACTACACTCTTGGAGGCAGCAAAGGTGGCTTTCTGTAGTCCCTAGTTTATAGGATCATTCTAATGCCTGTTGATATTATGACTCTTAAGCCCGAGGAAAGCAATTAATCAGTGTAGCATCCTAATGTGATGTTACCTCTGGCAGTTAAGGTGACCACCCTGTTCCTATGAATATACCTGTATGAAAATGGTGCCCTTATTACTAGGTAAAAAATGTTAATATAACCAGTATTTTATGTTTCTTCTTCCCGTCAATCACCCTAATGGACCTGTCTGGAAACCTCTTAGTGGGTTCAAAAGGTCATGACTGTAGGTTGTGATTGGTAGATCTGTAACCATTTTGTTTGTTTCCTAATGTCATAATTATGAAGGAAGCAGAAAATATGACTGTTGGTTACTTTTTCGTACTCTGAGTTCTTATTAGTGCAGTAAAATAATACAAAGGTATAAAATGAGGTTCCACCACAGTCTTGCAACTTGACAAAATCCAAATATGTTGTCTTTAGTTGAAGTTCAGAGCCCAAGTCTTGGTGTTCCAGCAGATCCAAGTCAAGTTGAGCAGCCTGATCAACATAACATCTGGTGCCTGCAGCTGGAAATCTTCTTTGAGAAATTTTTTCAAGCTTCTGATCATTTGGAAATGATAAAAGTAGCACAGAAATCCTGAATGCATTCAAGTCACAGTTTATAAAAAGGCTTCTCTGGTCTCTTGAACCTTGCTTTCCAAAATGATGACCGGTTTACACAGTCGTCCGAGTGTGACCTGTTTCCACATGAAGACGTTCTGTTTGACAGTTGTAGATGAACCAAACAAGCCTTATTTGTGATGTGGATGTTTGTATAAGGTGTTCAATGTGTAAATAGTTAAAGAGAAAAGCTCTTTTGCATTATTAACTTTTAGTAGAATTTTTGAACAATTGTGAGCTAAATTTAGATAAATTTAGCAAAACTTTTCATTATCATAACAAGATGGTCTTAAAAGTTAGTGCTATTTTGTGATAGCCACTGTCAACTGCAGTAAATGTCACTGCTCTTGGTTGTCTGAAAATTTTAAGTCGATTTATGTGTACTGTCAGTATTGTTCTGCAAATCAATATTTTGGTATTCTTAAGCATTAATGTGTAGTTGGATGTATATACTTTATTTGGCATCAGCTTTGTAAATATTGTACCTTTTCATTAATTTGGCTGATTAAATGTTCACATATGTTATTTCAAGAACAAGCAGTTAAATTTGTGGCACTTAAGTTTCTTGTTACTCTCTCCCAAGAATGCTCTCCCGGGGTGATACTCTCCCATAAAAGTGACAAGGGTGCTCGTTGTACCTATTAAGGGTTTAGATTTGTGGATTGGTACTGCTTAAGGAGCTAAAACCCCAAATGACTGCTATCACTGGTTGTGTTGGTAAGATTTATGATAATTCTTTCTAAAAGTTCTTCAGAAGAAAGTGTTCCATAGTTATCTTTATTACTATTAATATTTGTAGTGCAGTTATAAAATTTGTTGTTATTGAATTGGTAACTCTTAGAGGTGGAATGAATTTGGGACACGCCCATAAAACAAGATTCTGGTACTTTTAAGGGGTGTTCTCAAAATTTTCTGATGAGCACACCCATCACTTTTACAGGGGAGTACCCCTCGGTGGAATCCTCTGCAACAAACAAGCAAACAAATAAAGAAGTAAAGAAAATAATAAACAGTTCAAACAACAATTTCCTGCCCTTGGTCAAACATTTCCTAATGATACATTGTTTTGACAAAAAAAAATCGGCTTATCTAAAGTTGAAAATACCCACTAATTTATATATGGAATGCCAGTCACAAATTATTAACATTTATCCCTTCATTACATTGTCAGCTGAGAGGATGGGTTAGGATCTCTGAGTCACAGTCCGAGTCTTTCAAGTTTTATAAGTCTCAAAAGCGTTGCTGCTGACCCTGCCACCAGAGGCAGTGGCAGATCCAGGGGAGGGGCCTGGGGGGCCCAGGCTAACCTTTATTTTTGGTTAGGACCACCCCGAGCCCCGAAGTGCCGAAAACAATTTTTTGGGAGACTGCCCCCCCTTCGTCCCTTATCTAAGGGTCTGGATGACCACCCCCCACCCCCGCCTTATCTCAAAGTCTGGATCCGGCACTGAGAGGTGAGGGGAGAATAGCTGGGTAGGGTTTTGGGTGGAAATGAGCCACGCCCTGATTAACCAAAAAAAAGGGCTAATCAGATTTCTTACATGATTTTTAGAAATATATAATACCCCATTTTTGGAAGCTTGTCCAATGTGGATACCCTTTTCTAGATTTTCTTACCACCGCGACCTTGCAGCTCTCGGAAGATCCCACGGGATTGGTTGGGAAAACAATGAACAAGCAAAGTTAACAATAGAACCCAGCACGAAAACAAAACATGACAAAAGTGCTGGTACCCGTATAGAGATCCAATTAAATTAGAGCCGAATAGAGGTTCTGAAGAGCTACAAGGCTACTGACTTCTTGATCTACGTTTTCTATAGATCACACGGCGAACTTTTCACACATTTACCCTTCAGAAGTGTATTTACACAAGCCATACCAAATACATTTCGTGAGCGGATACTCTCTTTCCTCGGTCACCATCCCGTCCCTCCCTGACTCGGGATATTTTTTTTGCCGTGCTGACTTGTTCCAAGTGATTGTGGGTAGGAAAGTGTGCAAATGGCGTATGGTCGGCCCTCGAAAGGAAGGGTTGAATATTATTGATTTTATTTCGCTTTTCATACCGTTATGTTGTGATTTGGTACTCTTCAAACGCATTAGTTCGACACTGACGCGATATAGAAAATTAAGTGTTTATAGAACGAGCTTTTGGCCCCAGGTGAGAAGTCAGCCATAGTCTGTTTTTAGTGCTGTATACTATTTCGATGGTAGCTTTGATCTAGCACTTAAAAATAACACCGAACTTCTTCGTTATTCAACCTTTTTAAAGAAATAGGGCTATGAACCGCAAGAAAACTATCGACTACACTGTCACACGAAGGCCAAGAGACTCATACGGTCCGTCAAGTTCCTCTAAACCTCGGACGGAGAGCCGAGATCAACGAGGTCGAGGAGATGGCGACCGAGACAAGAAACCATTTTGGAAGGATGACAAGAATGTGGTGAGTCTTTGTAGGAAAATGAACAACCAGCCGGAAAAGCCGTCTTATATAAATGACAACTATAAAGATATTTATTCATTCGCTTGCACAAAATATGAAGTCAGCGTAAAATATTTTGTCTTTGCTCTGACTTCCTGAAACTTTGCTGCATGTGACAAAAGAGCTTTAATACCTCTTAATTTTCATCTCACTGCCGTTTTTTGCAGCACAATACCACAGCATGAAAAGTAAAAAAAGGAAAAAGCCAAAGAAATGAAAACGAAAAAAAAAACTGTACCTCTTTGTTCTCTGTATTCCACTAAACTGTCAAGTCTCCAGGGTCTTATGAAACAAGGCCCATAAGTCATGAAGATAACAGCTAATTTGAGGTGTATAAGCATACTGATCATTACTGTTTTTACTTGGTCTTAAGCCTTGAAGGTAACAGCTGACTTAAGTTCTCACACCATACACAGATCAAAATATGGGTATGAATCACCAGAAAAATAGCCATGAATATATTAACCAATATATGACTGTAAAGTCATTTGGATAAATAGGTCAAAATCTTAGTGGTTCTAAAAGAACATATAAATATATAGTATCAAAATTACAAACGAGAAACTGAGAGATTTATAAATCTGTTTGTTATTGGATGAATTTGTACCTTTGAGTATAACATTTTACACACCTTGCCAAAGTTAACTGTCTAATAGCGCGTGAAGAAATATAAGAAAATTGCTTTGTCCAAAGAGCAAGGTGTTTTTTTGATTACTTGCCAGTGAAGGAAGTTGTTTTGAAAACACACTTCCTTAAAGCAATGTTTATTTTTAAAGAGAGATCAAAATTAATAACTTGCAATCCAAAGAGCACAATATATAACAGTAATTTTGTTTGGACCCTGTGTTTTGTCTAATACCCACCCCTCTCTTTATCCTCTTATTTCCTGCTGGAAGTTAAGTCGGAAGTCACTGGCTTTTATGGTTTCGTTTTCTCTGTTGTGCTCATTTTGCTGATACCCTTGCCATAAATAGCCTGTCATTTTGTACTCGTCAACAAACTCACCCTGATACACTTTTCATACTAAATTGCATGCTGTATTTAAGTAAGTCTGTTGGGAGTCCCAAACCTCTAACCTGTGACATCCAAGATGCTCACCTCTTGAGCTTTCTGTGAAAGTTAAGACCTCTTTGTCACCCAAGGGCAAAGTGCGTTTCTAGGGGCGACCAAGTTGCTGTATAGCATAACCTGGTTAGGGTACCACATTGGTATTTGAAGGTTAACAATATCAATACTAATCTTTCAGGATAATTGTAACAGGGACTTTGTTACAAGTGATATCTATGGTTTTGCTCTGCCAACATTGCCTTTTGTTTCTCCTTATTACACTGTAAGTCAAAAATACCTGATTTGTGCCTACTATACATGGACATTGCTAAAACATTAAATGTTTTATCATCCTCTTCATTGTGTACACCATTACAGGTTCCAAAGAAAGTAAAATTTCCAGCTTGCCCCAGAGCAAGTTGTACCCTGTAAGTTAGGGGTGTCAGAAAGTTTTGAAGTAGACAGCTGAGTTGTCAAAGTTAGCGGCCAGTCCAGGGCTATTTTATTTACAAAATGCCATCCGTAAAGGAATGCCAAGCAGAGTAGCCAGCTGATACTAACCAAGTAGGTGGTGATTTTTGCTGGCAGCCAGCTACTTTTGACAACCCTGCTGTAAGTGGGATGTACCAGACAGTAACATTTTCACCAGCAGGAGTAATTATTGCTGCATGCTGTCTGGTAAGCCACACAGTACTGGGCTCTTTATTATCTGTGCCAGATTGCAAATTTTTGGGAAAAAAAACAATATTTGCATTGCTTAGATACAAACATGTAAAAGTGAGAACAAACAAGTTGACAAATCAGCAACAACTTTTATTGTGTATATAATAATAGTAGAAGGACAGGTCAAGATTGTTAATGGTGAATCGTTGACTTAAAAGGGTTCTCCCCTTATCATCTGCCGTGTTTTTTTCCCCAAAGTTTCATATAGAGACAATCATGGACAAAGAAAGATTCATGCTCATTGTGAAATTAGTCATAAATATTGCAGGATCAAGCATCTGAATGATTTGCAACCTGCCTTCTACTTTCTATTAGAAACCTTTAGTAATAATCAGTTAAACCCTCACTAGCACGACCCCTGTAAGTATTGATGGCCCTCTGTAAGTATTGTTCCTAGTAGAAAGATAATTAATATGGTACCTGCTTAATAACATAAGGTGTTTTTACAGATACACGTATCTGCCAGTATTGTCCAGTATATTTTACTGAAGTCATAAGCTAAAAGATTCTACTGAACAGTTTTAACTTCCATGTAGAAAGGAAAAAAGCAGAGAATTTTTACTTTTACAAGACCCTTTGAGGTTTTTAGCACTAATTTTAACAAAGGCCAAAAAAATCTTTGTTACACCTTTTTGTTAAGCACACACCAAAACAACCTCGTTCCCAGGGTTCTCTCCTACCCGCCCTATGGAGCAAGAGAAGAGAGACCTTGGAAATTGCTGGTCACATGGCTCCAAAAGAAAATTAATTCTGAGGGAGGAGTCCTTTGTCACACATTTTTTTTGTCTGGTTTATTTGCAACGTTCACGCGGTGGTCGCAGCAGTAAGATAGATTTGCTAACCCTACTACAACTATGACTGAAACTAAGGGAAATTTCTGCCTAAACTAAACTATTAGATAAACAAGTGAATTACCAGAGAAGGAATTAAAAACTAGCGTTGTCGCCAGTTTAACCGATGACACCAAAAAATCCACAATCTTGAGTTATGCTTTGAAGGTAAAATCCCTGCATGTTGAACTTCTATATAAAAGTTTCAATGTTCATGTGACAGCGGCTGGTAATCCGGCCAAATAAACCTACACCATTTGCGGTCTTAGCAGTTCAGAGGTGACAAACCCTTGGGACAAAACAAAACATGGCAGTTACATTGAGAGAAAAGAATTCAGTTAATACACCTACGATCAAAGTAATATTTTAGATCTAGTGACTTCACTTAAAGCTATAGCCTAAGATGTCAGCTTTTTCTACCCCCTAACCTTTGTTGTGATGCGGCAATAGAAAAGTGGTAAATAGATCAAAGATAAAAATATTTATATACTAACGCGACATGGAAGACAACAGGAAATAATATAAACAGAGACAAAACAGACAACATAACCTGCATAATAGTAGTTATGAAAACACATACAGATACTGTACATTTGTTTTCTAAAGTGGCCTCCACAACATAGAAAAGGCAATTCAAATCTAGTGCGTTTCAGTATGAATACTACTACCAGGATACCTAAATTATTTTTTACTGCACAAACGGTGAATCCTCCGCGATTTCCGTTGCATGTGCCAAATGAAAGCATTGCTGATAAACATCTGATTAACATCCAGATATTTTGCAGGAAGTTATGCTTTCGCTGATCAGGTCAGGTACACAGTTTCATGGCTACATTGACCTGTCTACGCTCTGTAGAGACAAATCTCACACTTACCTGCCCCTCCCCGGAATCGTTTGTTTGTAATCTCCCAGATTCTAGGAGACATGTGACCAGCATTCTCCAGGGTCTCTCTCTCTCTTGCGCTTCATAGGGCGGGTAGGAGAGAACCCTGGGAGCGAGGTTGACACTAAAATTATTGGCTTTATTAAAAAATTGTCCTGAGAGGCGGTCATGAGAGGACTAATTGGTAGCTTATGCAATGTTTACAATGTATGTTAAGGGCAATGTACAAAGGCAAGAATGAATAAGACCATTTGCATGGGTGTCATGCCTTAAATATTCTTTCCAACATCCAGCATAACTATGAGGCAGAATTCTTTGTGCAACTTATCGTTTGAATTTGGATGCAGTCCGCAACAATTCAATTTGAGGAAGTTTTGTTTACAAGTTGAGCACACTGTTCTCCTGTTAGGGCTTGTCTTCATTGTGAGAGACTGCCCTAAAGTAACTAATCAAACTAATGGTACCCTTTATTTGTCTGCTATCTTTAATGTTGGTTCTGTCAAAGGCTGGGCTATCTTTCCCCTCCCACATCCACTCGTTGGATAACCCATTTGCCATAGCTAACTTTCAAGTGTAATGTAACAAACAGTTGTTTTTAATGTTCATGTAATTTACTCATCAGTTAAAGTTGTCATGATCAATTTGTTTTTTAAAGATCTGGTTTAGTAAGCAGTATTCACCTCCCTTTCCAGTAAAATATTGCACCCATATACTTAAGCTTCTTACAGTAGGCTACAAGTGTTTATTACCAAACATCCAATCCAGTTCTCCTTTATAAGGAAAATAAACCGAAGGATATTACAGCAAGTCAACAAAAGAAAATTACCAACTTTAACAGGTCTGATGGCTATTCCTATTCCTATAGAGATTTTTCGCTTTTGCCCATCCGTTTGTCAATTTGAAGTACTAAAGTCATATGTTAATAATTGTCTTGTCAAAGCTTTTTCTAACCACTCATTGATCCAAGAAGTTTCTACCTGAAAGTTCTTTACCAGTGGCAGATGGAAACCTGAGAAGTTTATTTTGATGCTAATAAACTGAAGCAATTTTATCAGAAACTACTGAGGAGGCCTTGGCAAAAACCTATACATTTTTTGGTGCAGTAGGTTCATCTAAGACTATCAAGCAGATGTCTGGTAGTTTTGACAAACACAGCTGTTTTTCAAGACTGTCCTTTGTAACATGGAGATGACAGGGTCCTGAAAAATCGTTCATCCAATTAACATCCTCCTGAAAGAGAAAGATTCGCTGTCCAAGATGAGCTGTGCTATGCTGCCCATTGGGAAACAAGCAAGTCTTAATATAGTAACAGAATATATTTTGATCTGCACTATGGAAAGTCAGGATCTACATATTTTTGCGCAACCATTCAAGTCACCAGATGTTTAAAGGGTATGTTGTTGGATTGCTTACCTTTCATTGTCAGAAATGACATCCATTAAACTTTTTTAACTTTCTGTGGTAATCATTTGATTTTTCATTCCTAATCTGTTTAGGTTTGGGCTTTTAGTTGTGGCATGCAGTAGTAGCAAAATACCGTAAAATCCCATGTTAAAGCCCTGGCCCCGGTTGTTCAAACGTCGGATAGCGCTATCCAACGTTTGAACAACCTGGGCCTGGGCTTTAACCTTCATAAGGGGTTTTGGGTTGGCTTGTAACTAGAGGGGGTTGTATCCGGGGGGGCACATAAGTGGAATAAAAAACATGTCTCGGAATGACGAGATAAAACGTTTCTTAGAAATGAATTAAAGCAAACGCACCATTACATGTAGAGTTACATTCATAATACATTAATAATTAATAATTATTGTGCGTCACAATAAACCGATTATGTATTTCAAAAACATCTATAAAACACCTATGCAAGTGGAAAAACCGGAATGGAACAGAACAAAAGTAAAAAAAACTACAAGCCTTAACGTTATTAGCCTGCGAAGCGCAGACGCATTTCCGGTCGTCGCTTCTCTCCCTCCGAAAAATAGCGTCTGCGAACCCGAGCGGCAAAACGATTTCCGTGGCGTAAAACCTTTTTAGCCAATCACGGTTTAGCTCTTAAAATCAAGGAACTAACTCGCGAGACTTCTCGCAGGATCGTGCGCGGTGGATATGTTTTCAAGTCGAAATTGAAAGGACGACGTGGCTTTTTTTTAGCCGTCCTTTTACGCCGCGTTTACGAAAGTTAATTTGCCAGGATTGTGGCACTGATTGACGAAATAAGTATCAAGAGGATTCATATCGAAGAAAAGATTAGAGGACAATTTCCATCTATTTGCCTACGGAGTCATTGATTTATCACACCTTGTTGTTTTGATCATATTCGAAACGATAAATGTCCTAATGACAGAAGACGCATCATGCCGTTTGTTGCTTCTGTTCCTCTCTGGTTCCTGACAGGAAAGTGTGCCTTGGAGAACTCTTCGATAGTTTGTCGTGTGCCGCTTTAGATATTTTTAGTAGATATCCTTTATCTTTGAAAGGTAGGACATGTGGTAATTGATTTTCCATGCGTGGTTGCTTCTTGGTTCAGATAGAACTTTGATCAGATCGAAAGCATTTTATATTTGTTCCGGTATATTTCTTTGAGTACATGTTCTTTTCAAGGTTCTCATTTCCATAGTTTTTTGTGAGATGAGTCGAAGCGTCGTAGCTGAAATGTCATTTTGACTATGATCTATTTACTGCTGTAACTATTTATTTCACGCTGGGTCTGGCCCAGGTTTATAATATTTCAGATCATTGTGTTGTGGCGATACTAGAATTATTAACGAGCGATTGTTAGAGATTTCTGAATCAGTCAAGGATGTGTCTGTATAATTGATTCACCACCTTTTGTCAGCGCTGGTTAAATTGAAATAAATAAGTCTGAGCGCGATGTCATTAAGCTATGTTGCTTTCCTTTCGCTGTAGCGATTATTTGGTTCAGGTTTTGTTTATGTCACGCACTACCGTCTTTTATAAAGCGAAACCAAAGGCCCACATCACATACATAGCTTAAGAAGCCGTTGCTTCATAAAGAAGTCACCATTCAATGTGGCAGGAAACCTTCTTATGGTCGTGAAATTCACGTTCCAAAGCGTATTTGGTAATTCTCGCCAAAATCCAAGACACTTCAGCGCGCGAGGTCGCGAGGAGTCACTCGAGCTGTATTCTATCCTTTGATTTGATTGGCCTACATCAAAACAAAAGGTTTTACGTCACGGAAATCGTTTTGCCGCTCGGGTTCGCAGACGCTATTTTTCGTAGGGAGAGAAGCGACGACCGGAAATGCGTCTGCGCTTCGCGGGCTATAACGTTATCAATTTGCTTGTTTGCCGTGAAACGGTCCTTTTGGTAGTATTAACAAAGTTCATATTTGTATTTCAATGTTCAGAACAGTTTCATAGTTCCAATTCAAGTGGCTACTGAGTTGAACAGTTGTGTTGGAAATGAACAGTGGAACAGAACTCTTAGTGTTATTATATGCATGAACATTTGTTTCTTTCTTTGGAATCAATATAAATTGTCCTAAACTCCACAGTCATTTGTTTATGCCTATAACCTTAGATTAAAAATTTTGATGTTTGTAAAGAAGCGCAAAAGGAGCGCATTTATAATTATACATTAGATGGGCTTATAAACAGGTGAGCTAATAATATCTAATAATATCGGAATAATATCTTTGTTAGCAAATGGATGGGCTTATATCCGGGGGGGAGGGGGGGGGGCTTTAATGTGGGATTTTACGGTAGTAGCTTTCCAGTGCAATGAACGCGAAGTGCATGCAGGAAAGGTGCACACATGCTAACAGGTGCAATTCAATCAGGAAGGGGTTCAAGCTTGTGGTGTACCACTTTTCATTAAGGATGGTGCATTGGATTGGCTTCAGTTTAAATTTAATACTGCAAGATGAGCTGTGCTATGCTGCCATTTGGGGCTTTGCTATAAGCATAAGGTAACAGTGTATAAGCATCCTTCAGTAACCATCTCCAGAGTAAAACATGAAGAATCAGCTATAAAGAACAATTCCTCAATGGTAGTGACTTATCATCAAGGTCTATCAATTTGATGAGGTTGTCACTGACCTTTTCAATTACTTGATATTCAGAGTTCTCTCAATTCTGCCATTTTCAGACTACATGTTAGCCCGGGGGGCGGGTTGCAATCTGCAATTTACACCCCAAAGCGAGATGGCAAGTATCCCCATTACTTTTACATGGGAGTCCCCCCATCCCCCTGGGTATGTTAGGCTCCCTACAAGGTTAGGATTGTCAAATTTTCTCTTTTCAGCTTTTATGTTTAGGTTGGGTTGTCAGTTTATCCCTGGGTGTTATTTAAACCAATCCAATCCAATCCACCAGACTTGTAATGAGTTTGGGCTACCTTCTCTGGACCTTATGTAGGAGGTCATGTAATGTAAGTTCCAAAAGTTCCCTCACTGCAGTGAAACTGTGATGTTCTTTACAGTTTTAGCAGTTGTTTTGGTTCTTAAGGTCACGGTATATATTCTTTATTTGTTACATAGGCAGTTTTTTCTTCTTTTAAGGTAACAGATGAGTTGGAGATTACAGGCCTGCCAATCCTGAAAAAGAAAAATCTTGAATTTGACCTTAAAATGTGGAGATTCTTGAAGAATAAATTGGATACTACTTTTGTTACTTTTCATTGGGTCTGAGAGTGCAAGTTTACCTTACAACATAGCTAGCTATATAATAGAATGGTTACCAGAAGAGCAGTCACTGTAAGGGTGAGTCATAAAGAAAGTTATGTGACTCTCAGCAAAATCCTGAGAGTTGGCAGGTCTGTGGTCACACTCACAAATTGTGATAGCTTGGCTGAAGTACTGCCACTGTGGTCCTTGTTATGTATTGTTTACCCCACTCTAATAATCAGTATCACCTATGTATGATTACTATTACGATTGTTATAATATCTGGTGACTATGGATTAATGGGTTTATTGGCATCACATTTAACTATTGAAAGTCAGTTTCTTTTTAACTTATCTCCTTTTGTTTCTTTGCTGACTTTGAACTTCTCTTCTTCTTTCAGGACTTTTAAAATGTATTGTTCAGATTATAATGGCAAGATAAGGATACAGACTGTATACAAAGCACAATGTTAATGAACAATTTGGGAATATGGTTGATCAGTTGACCTCTATATTTCCCTTATATGAGCAACTGTTATAGGTTATTTTATTGTTTACTTCTCATGCTTCGAGGTATTTCTTGCATTTTCAAATTTCAGTTTTAGTAATGTCAGTAGGCAAGCATTTTCGACTTTTTTTATTCTTTAATGACTACTTAATTCAGTGGTGAGCATAATCTTAGTCTGGAATTCCAAAAGATATACTAGTGGCTCAGTACCGCTTAGGAACCTGCATTTGTTGAATGTGGAAAAAAGTGCTGTACTTCGTTCAACAGGATGACAGGTGTAAACATCTTATGAGAGACCTTACACTTTGTTTGCCAGTAACTCCAGTTTTTATATAGTGAATTTGCCTGCCCTAATTTCTCTCCCCAAGGGTGAATACATGCTTACACATAATTACGTCCATGAAAGAAACCTTCTGAAAGTTGCCCATTACATTTGGCTGAGAGCTCCTTTAAAACTTAAGCAGACACCCTGGTGGGGTAGAAAAGGTGAGATTTGGTGGGGACCAGAATTGGTAATGCACATAAAATACTTGAGCTCTTCTTTTCTCAAAACATCAAGAAACAACTTTGACAAACAAGGGAAATGTACTTTGCTTCCCACTAAACTAGGAGCTTTTTTGTTCTTTTCATTGTTTTGGTGAACCGTTAAAGAGGCAACTATTTTTCAAGAAATTTTAATTCTTTTGAAACTTTTTTTCAGGGAAATGAATCAAATTACAGCACTTTAGAGCAATTGCAACGAGAGGCTGTTTTGAAGGATCTACAAGAAGAAATATCAAGATCTGTCCTTTCTCAAGAAAGTTTGTTATTGTCTGGGCGAGATAATAGGGACAGTTATTCAAGAGATAAAGTCAGAGGTCCAATTTTAGATGAGTTTTCAGAAGATGCACGTGACTACCGCAGCTCAAAATCCATTAGGAATGACTATAGGGACAGTAGAGACCAGCAGCTAAGAAAGCATGATGACAGTCGCTCAAGAAAAAGGAGTTACAGCCCTGCAGATGACAGGTCATCCTCTTCCTACAGAAAGAGTAGAGAGGACACCCCAACAAAGCGTAGTCGCAGTACAACTTCTGGCAGCCGCCATGATAGTGATGATGATTTACGAAATGTACTAAAACAGTACCAAAAGAGTAAATGGGAAGATGAAGATGTCAGTAAGGACAGAACACGATATAACAGCAAGGACTTTGTCAGTAAAGTTGATGGCAAAAGAAACAAAGAAAGCCTTGGGGTGTCCTCTTCTACTGACATTTTCACCATGTCAAGCCAAGAAACTCTTGGCTCTTTTTCTTTGGAGTCACTGCCTGGTAGCAAGGACTACTTTGATGCTGGTTTTAGGGAAGATTATAGAGAGAAGGACTGGCTGAAAGAAGACAAGAAAACTTACAGAGACAGCTCAAAGGACAGAGATTATACAAGTAGCAGGTACAGATCTAGTAAGCAAGATAGAAGAGGAAGCTTAGATTATGGGCTAAGGTATGGACCAGTTCATAAGTACTCTAACAGGGATGACTACAGAATTAATGATCAACTTTGACTGCGGTAAAGTCTTGCTTCCTTATCAAGACTTATGTGGCGAGAGTTTTGATATGTAAAACCTTTTCCATACATTACCACCTAAGCCTTGTGGCAGGTGAAATGTGCAGTTGCTTGACCATGAGTAGTAGCTTTTTTATTCCTTAAAGTGCATTTTGCACCCCACATTGTGAAACGCAATTGTCTGGAAAGCACTTTTTCATGTTAACAATGATTTCTTTGTTTCTTAGGGGCAATGATTTGGAGAACGTGGACTCTAGATTTAAAAATGATGACCGCGAATTTAGTAATGAGGTAGATTTGGATCGCATTTTGTATCAAAACAGAGAATCACCTAACTATGGAAGCTTGGGCAGTGAAATTCTTAGAGACCTCTCAGTGACAGAGCTAGCAGGATTGGCAGGCGAGAAGTTCAAAACTGGTTTTGAGCTTGGAAGACCATTTTTTGGATTTGACCGAGGTCAACAAAGAAACAAACCAGGTACATTCGTATGTACAGGTTAATAGTTTGAATTAAATTAGTCTTAAGGCTATAGCAACAGTAATGAATATCTAGAGGGTCGGACAATTATTTAAACAAAAACCAGATTTCAAGTCTGCAGTATCGTAGTGAAACGTCACTGTGGCATCCAGCTAAGTGTTCTGGATGTGAAAAGTCTCTTCTCCAGGGTCGTTTCACTTTATCAACCATTGTCCTTATTGCCGACTTCGTGAGACCTCTAAGATACAGTGGGTTGTTTTATCTTTAGTGTACTATTCCTTAAACCACAGCCGTCACCAGCACTGGATACCTATTAAGAAGGACGTGGTAAACATTTTGTGCTTAAGTAATGTGACACATGCATGTAATTTAGCACTTGCCTACATAATCCTCTTTTTCCCCTAATAAACGAGTCTTTATCAATAGTTGTTTCTTCAAAATGAAAAAAAGCTTTTTTCTAGGAATGCTTCAATCTAGGTATTATCAAGGGTTAATCAGTTAGGTAGGGCACAGTAAGTAAGTTAATTGTCCTCATTTTTTTTACAGTTGATCGGGCAACTTGCCTATTTGTCAACTTGCCTTTCCAATATCCCGCTTTGTTGTTTACTCCTCATTCTGAGAGCGTGCTGCTCTGAAGGTTTTAGCCTTCCAGTAGTTCACTAGCAGACCAAAGACCAATGTCATGTAGGAGAATTGACTAGAATTCTTTGAAACCGCGACTTCGAAGACAAGTATACGAAAATAAATAAATAAAGTTGCATTTTTATATTGATGCTGAAGTGTTAACCAGGCTTTATTATATTAGGTTGGCAAGACCAGACAGCTGCGGGAGGAACTACTACAGACAGCATTTGGAATGAATCTTCTGACTTGTTGCTTGAAGGACGAGGTAAAAGCTATGGCAAAACCTACGGCGATGATGACTTTTTGCTGAACCGTGACAGAAAAGACCATAAGGAAGACAAACCATCAAGCTTTAAAACACAAAAGAGAGATTCATATAGTAAAGATAATAAGAACGTTAACAGTGGGCAGAGAGGCAGTTTAGCACCATTGCTTAAGCCCGCTAAAAGTGTCTCATTAAACAAAACGTCTGGAGGCACTAGTTCAAAATTGTCTGCCCCTTCAACCACCAAACCTGGGCCAAAACCCTTGTTTCCATTAGGGTTTATGCCGAGACAAGTCAAAGTGCCACAAGGTAAAAGTACTCAGAAAACGCCATTAAATAAAGGCAATCAGTCGCCACCATTGTTACCAAAGAAGAGCGGCTACTTTCCAAGACACACGGAGACGAAATCAAGATCGCGCAGCAGGAGTTCTGAGAGAGTTTTTGAGAATAGCGACTTTGGAGCTAACACTGGCGCAAAGAGACAGGTGAAACCTCCCAGCAAAGGAAAATTCACAACGCAGAATTGGTCAAACCCGGGAGATAAGAACAAGAAAATAGAAGGAAAGGAAAACGCTAGTTTAAAAGCCCCTCAACTTTTGAGTGGCACCCGAGGAAGAGGAAACATCTTGACCAATAACCGTGGAAACCGTGGCAGAGGAGGATTCCAACAGAAGCCTGGTGTAGGAAGGGCAGGTGCAGGGATTGCTCAGAGAGGCAGAGGAAGAGGTGTTAGAGGTAAAGGTCCGAGCAATAGAGGAAGAGGTGCTTCTAGGGGAAGAGGTTTGGCGGCACGTGGAAGAGGCAGAGGCGTAGCCCAACCTCCTGTTGGGGCAACAGTGAGAAATATCTTTCGGAGAAGTAAATCACGCAGTCCCAGACAAGGAAAGCACAAAAGATCCTCCAGGTCCTCTGGCAGTCCAAGGGGAAGTAGAAGCAGAAGAAGAGGTAGCAGAAGCCGAAGCCGAAGTCGAAGCAGTAGCTATTGCAGTACTTGCAGCAGTGGTAGTTGTAGTACTTGTCATAGCTGGCGCAGCATAAGCGTTGACAGTCTTAATGGAGATCAAGACAAAAAGAGACGTGGTCACCATAGAGGGAAGAGTGGCAGCAAGTATAATGTGGACAAAAAGTCTGAGAAGTCTTTGGATAAGTTAAAAGACGATATAAAACATATGGAAAAGCAGCTAGAGCAGAAGGTCAAAGATCACTCTGTTTCAAAACCATTAGAAAAGCCATTTGATAGTAAACAATCGAGCAACAAGACGAACGAAAAGAGGCTATCAGAGACAAGATTATCAGATAAGAAACCACCAGAAAAGAAAACATTAGACAAGGCCCTCGTCGATAAGAAGCCACCAGGCAAGAATTCAGATCAGAAGACGTCAAAAGATGCCCTAAAAGGGAAATCGGATGTCAAAATGACAAAGAGTGACCCAAAAGCAGGCTTCAAACAAACTAAAGGTGGAAAATTAAAAGACCAGAAAGAAAGTGTGTTAGATAAAGAGAAGAAACCTGAAAGACCATTCGATGACAGGAAAGACGTCAAAAGAAAGACTGACAATTCCAGAGAAGTGATTTTAAAAAGTGATAAGCGCAAGGAGTCTCCTCTTTTCATAAAGAAAGAGAAAGAATCCCCTGCAAGAGAAGTGAAGATCGTCAGTGAAAAGAAGAGCAAAGGTGACAAAGTCCTTGATGAGTCTAGCTCGAAGATGAAAGCGGGCTCGCTGAAAATAACAATCGATCAACCTAAATGGTTGATTGACGCCAAAAAGAACAAAAATATCGAAATTGATCAGCCTAAATGGTCGACTGATACAAAACAGAGTAAAAATATGGAAGTAGAAGTTGAAAGGACTGTCGATGTTAAGAAGAAGCCTTCCAAGTCCCCTCCTGGCAAGCAAAAGAAGAAGGACAAAGAAAAAGTGAAGTCGAAGAAGGCAAAGAAAAAGTCCAAGAAAAAGAAGTATGACAGAGATAGCGCTGATTCCGGAGATGAGTCAGTTTACAGTAGCATTTCTGGACAAGATGACTTCCCCTCTAGTAATGATGAAAAGTCCAAGTATTTACAGCCCTACGATCAAAGAATCGTAGAATTCTCTTCTGGAGCTTTTGATGCCAATATGATAACTGTGCATTACGCTAAACGAAGTAAAAGTTCAACCCGTCCAGTCAGCCGATCGTCAACCGAAGGAGAGACCTCAAAAAGTTCTCAAAGTAGGGCTAATTTAATCACCATTCCTGTTTCCAAAGAGCCACCTTTGTTGCCAGATGTTAGCCGTCCACGAAAAAGCAGCGGTGTTCCTCCTCCTTCTCAAGAGAAAGTGTTCGATAACGATAATAGTGATGCGCATTACTCTGAGATATCGTATACCGGAAATGAAGCCAATGTTGATTATGAAACAGCCGGGTTTGCTGGGGAGTTTCAGGGTGAACAGGACTATGGTCGTTCGTACCAGGGCGACGAGGATCTGGGGCAAGAGTGGGAACCAGGTCATGGTGAAGAAGGTGAATACTATTATGAAGAGAGAGGAGAGGGTGAAGGATATGAGCAGGAGTATTACACCTATCCTCAGGAGGGTGAGGTGGCTGGTGCTGGTGTCGTCCAAGAAGGAGAGAACTACCAAGAGTGGTATGAGGGTGAATATGTGGAGGGAGGTACTGTGGAAGGTGAAACTGCAGGTGCCGAGTATGAAGGAGAGTATTATCTTGCTGAGGACGGCTTGTATTATCCTGTTGAAGGCGAAGCTTATGAGCAATACCAAGGGGAGTATGTTGAGGGTGGAGAGCATCATGAGGCGGAGGCAGTGCAGGGTGAGGCTGTTACTTATGATGAGTACGGTTATCAGTATACTGAAGAAGGTTACCAGTATGTTGAAGAGGGTCAACAATATGCTGAAGAAGGAGCAGAGTGGCAGCAGTATGGTGAAGATGGTGCTGCCTACCAGTCTGGAGAAGGCTGGGGTCAGGGTGAGGTGGAAGGGCAGTGGGAAGAGTACCAGGAAGGATACCCTGCTGAACAGTCAGAGTGGGGCCCTGAGTACACTCAAGGCATTGAATATGAACGACAGGAGTATCAAGTTGAAGGGGCTGAGACTCTGCCTCAGGAGGGTTATGACGATAGTGACGTGTATGAGCAGAGCCAGTATTACGCCGAGGGTTACCAACAACCTGAAGAGCCAAATAGTGTTGAGCAGAGTTTTGAACCACATTTACAAACGGAGCATGATCAGATCCAAGAGACTTCGGCAATAAAAGACAATTCCGAAAATGTGTCTGTAGTCCCGCCTAACGTCGGGGACAACAAAAAAGAGGCCAAACCGCTCAAGTCCATTCTTAAGAAGGGCAACCAGGCAGAAAGCAAAGGCACAAAGTTAGTCAGTGAACGTCTTGCTCAAATGAAGAATCAGCCCGGAAGCAAATTGGAGACGCCAGGACTCGGTAGTACTCCAGCTTCATCTTCGCAAACAGCTGAGACAACAGGACAAAATCCCAGGCAGGAGGAAGAAGCGAAAGCCCAATCTGAATCGGATCGTTATCGTGAAACCGAAAGAGAAATTTTGTCCTCCCAACCCAAAGATGCCATCGGCACCGAGTTTATTGTGCGAGTACACGGTACTGGGATGTCCAGTTTCTATTGCAAACTGTGTAATTGTCGTTTCAATACACTGACAGCCAAGAACTTGCACGTCAAAGGAATGAAGCACATAGAGCTGTATATCCGCTTAAAGTCCCAGCTCTTACAGTCTGTGATAAAGGACACAAAAGTAGCTACCGCTAAGAGGCCTGCTGAAGAAGGTGCCTCTGGTGCGCAGAAATTTCCTCGCATACTTAACTAAAAATGACAAGAACCTTTTTTAGCTTTAAACTTAATATTACCCTCTGTGATAAAGTATGCTACACTCGATATGTCACTATTATTATCTGATCGAGTTTACTTGGCATTTATTGTGACTGGCATATCTTGAAAGGCCTACAATTTGGACAAAAGTCCAGGACTGGGATTGGGACAGTACTGCAATATTTATATTTCTCTGTCATTTCTCGGTTCCCTCTTAAAACGGTGCATCCGTTTCGAAAATTTCTCGCAGTTCTCCCTCCCCCCACCCAGTACAAAGTTGAAACTCGAAGAAAAATTCTGCATACACGCGTCCAACATTGTTTGTGGGGAGGGGTTGGACCTGTGTGAAGTGGAAAACGCCCCAGAAATGCAAAAGTGTCCTAAGACTTTTGTCCATGATTGTAGTTGCAAGCGTAACTAAACCATTCATCCGGACGTTTGGTGTATTATCCTCTTAGTAGATAAGAATAGTGACGTGTCAAGTCTAGTTTATTGAGGGATTAAGACGTTTTCGAAGGGAAGCCCATGTTGACACTCACTTCCATATAATCACCTCGGCTGTTGTCAATATTATTTCCAGCTTCTTCCCCAACAAATGATGGGATAAAATTCAAAAATCTGGTAAAATTGGCTTTGGGCGATAATTGTGCCTTTTGAAAATCTTACCTCTCTAGACTGGCCCACCTTAGTAGAACGTGTCGTTATTTCATTTCGTTTGGCCTTGAACATGTATATTGTATTTACGTTTTGTTGCTTGCTTTCCTTGTATTTACGTATATTTACGTCATCCTCGTAGACCCGTCCTGAGCGGCGTCGGGGCGAGAGAATTCAAACCAAAACTTTGTCGTGCCGACTTTTGCTGAAGTCTTGAATTCTTCCACCTGTTTCTCGGTCTCCGATGGTGGAGATGTATTTAAGTGTGCAAAATGTTTTCAGGGCAGCGTTTATACGAAAGTTTCTTTGGAAGTGTAATCTTCTGTATTTTGAGAACACAGATCTTTGAATGGTAAAATTCAAATGACATGAATAAGTAGTAAACTTACAAGTACGTAGCCTCCCAGGCAGACGTTCTAAGGGCTTCGTCACGCGTTCAACGTCATCAATACAAAAAGTTCTCAGAGAAACTGCTGTTGTTCATGAGTTATCGGCGCCCTTCTCAAGTCGTGGAATTTGTCACGAGGCTTCAGTCAATTCATCTGACAGTGTCTTGGTGCCCCGCTGAAAGTTCGAGACCGCGTTTCCTATCAAGAGTCGGTGAATTACTCCGGACTTTAATGGCCACTCTTATCCTTCTTCTTCGATTATCCTTGTACTGGGATTGTTTTTCACTTGTATCAGCTGAAGTCACGTGACCAAATTCACTCGAGAAAGGGGCTGAGATGGGGCTACATGTAACTTGTTTCCCTTTGTAATTTATTGTGTATAGGAACTCAATTTTTTTCATACATTCAAACCTTTTACTTTTGATTAACTTATGTTTAAAAATGTAAGAGTATAATCAGCTATCAGTTCCTTGCTAACATCAAAGACGTTTACAGTTTACCATGTTCGTTTCTTCTCTTGCAAGATAACCTGGACTGAACATGATTTGCACTGATTTTTTATAGTTCTTAACCGGATAAAGGACTTCCGTTATAGATCCCTATTTGATTGAGACGTCTACTTAAGTTAGATTAGTTTTGTTTGTTAAAATGTGACTGTTGTAAAAGTATTAGGGCTAACAGTTGTAGCAACAGCAAGGCTCTGTTAATTGATTCAAGGGCAAGGAAAAGAGAAATGATCGCTTTTGTAAAAGTAGTTTCTTTGTAAAGTTGCTTGAGAGCATTAAAAAAAAAAATAACACGTGAGACTAGAAACATAAGCTCTTCCTGTTTTCGTACTAAGTTTTACAGTACTTTGCATTTGGCCTTCAGAATCACGGTTTTACTTACTAACTTACGTACAAGTCCATACTAAAGTTGTTACATTTTCCACATTCAGCTATTTCGAGAAAGGTTGTCGGAAAAAGTACACTCGACAATCCCGAAAGGTTTAGTGGGTGGTTTTGAGTAAACTGCACTGGAGGCCACGGACATATGTTTGCGAGTGCTAAAGGAAAGCAACAGAAGTTGCTTCGACAGCTACGGTCGTTACCAACAGTGTATTGATTATATCCCATATTACCTTTCAGGATTGGCGCGTACACATTTTTTTCGACAACCTTTTTCGAAAAGTACGGAAATAGTAATAAGAGTTATACTAGAGGTTAAGATTTAAAACACGTGAAAGATCATTTCAGTTATGTACGCAACATGCAGACTCAGGCCTCGTCCAGAAGAATCCCGGATATTTTTAAACCTCATATTTTTTACACAAATTGGCATTCCGTCCATACGAAACCAGTGATTCCTGTCACCGAAACTGCATCTCTTTGAAACCGTTCTCCAGATTGGTTTACTAAGGTCCCGTCGACACGAATGCGGGTTTAAAATATGAGATTTCAAAAATTTACCCATGACCCTGCGGTATTGGAGCAGTGCTTTAACCCATTAAACCCTAAGATCAAATTGTTGCCTCTATTCATTTCTTATAGAAGTAGTGGTCAGAAGTTGGTAAAATATCAAGCAAATTCATCTTGTGTGATCATGTCCGTCATTCTCATGACCACTCTGTTTTACTATTCATTGACATTACAGGGAGAAATTTGATGCTGATTACTCTTAAGGCTTAAAGGGTTAACCAACTGAGCTATCAAGCCTAATCTGAGGGAAGAGAAAGATATGCATTTTCAGGCAAAACCTTATGTTTCGTTGTCATTTTCCAATAAAACCTCTCTTTTGGGGTACCTTTTTTCAGGTGACACCATCGTTCAAGTCACACATTGTTCCCCCGCTCCCCCAAAAGCAAGTTCATATAATCTTTTTATCAGTTACCTCTACTGAATGGACACCTCTATTCAGGGGACAGCTGTCCTGGTCCTTAGTTTGTCCGTTGAATGGAGAATCCACTGTATTATGTTTGTATCAGTTACCTCTGTTGAAGGGACACCTCCATTTAGGGGACACTTGGCCTGGTCCTGAGGTTATCCCCCAAATGGAGGATCCAATGTATAATGTTTGTATCAGTTACCTCTGTTGAATGGACACCTCTATTCAGGGGACACTTGGCCTGGTCCTGAGGTTATCCCCCAATGGAGGATCCACTGTATTATGTTTGTATCAGTTACCTCTGTTGAATGGGCACCGCTATTCAGGGGACACTTGGCCTGGCCCTGAGGTTATCCCCTGACTTATTATTATTATGGAGGATCCACTGTATTATGTTTGTATCAGTTACCTCTGTTGAGGGGACACCGCTATTCAGGGGACACTTGGCCTCGTCCTGAGTGTGTTTATTGAAGGGACACCTTTTTACGGGACACCTTTCTGTCCTGGTCCCGAGTGTGTCTCCTGAATGGAGGCTCCACTGTACTATGAATGGGCCATTTCCATGTTCCCCCAGGCCTCTGTATCAAAACCAGGTTAAGTGCTCAGCCTTTGATATGGAAATGATTTTCATTCTCATGCAAATAAAACTTTTCACATGAAAGGTTGTGCACTTGGTCTCATTTTGAAAATGAGGGGTTTTGGAACTCGGGAGTGGCCAATTTGTGGGGAAGAGGAAAATAGGGATGTTATGTGAAGAATGAAGTTGATTGATTGCCTGGTGGGGCTCCTGCTAGTGGATTGTTGAAGTCTCCCCAATTCTTTTTAAAGTTGGGACTAGCATTAACAGTATCCGTCATATAGAGTCATTAAATGAAGACATCCATCTTATGAAGTTGTCGATGAGGACAGACTATAGATTCAAAGTAGTGGCTGTGCTTGTGTATGTATTATGATAAAAAGGCAAAAAGCTTCCTTCTAGTTCGGAGCAGGTTTGTTACAACATCCATAGGGATGGGTGTCGTGCCAGTGAAAACAGTATACACTGGCTGAGAACGGTATTAGGGTCTACCGTATCACCACGTAGCACATTTCCTCTGAATAGGAGCCCCTTAATTTCGTTGACAGGTTAAGTTACATTTTCCCACTTTCGATTTCAACATATCCAATAATATACTTGTGTCTCGATATCATAAATGTCCCCTACGGCGGCTCTGTTTCCTAGAGGATGTACACAGTTTTTTTCTTCGCTGTTGTTAAAACATTCCTCGTTATTGTAAACAATGTCGCGCATGATAGATGTATTGAGATGAAGAAAAAGATGTGCATTGATTACATGTTTTATTCCCGTCAGTAGTGTAGTAGGGATGAAATTAACCTTTTTTCTGAAGTGGTTTCCACTAATGTGAAGTGATATAAATAACCGTTGATCACGTCTTTATCTCATTAAGACAATGTCTTGTGCTATTTTTTGGAGGCCTAACCGGTTTGATAGGTTGTTTAAGGTTCGATGAATGTCTTGGTTTTTGATTGCCTGACTAAAACCTAAGAACAATATTATTTTGGTTGATTCATGTCTTGATACACAGAGTGCTCCTGTAGAGTTTAATAAATTTCACCAGGGAACAAGAACGGTAATAATTTTGGGGTAATTTTTTGCTGGCATAAAGTGACCAAATTGTTGCAATTTGCAGTCTATGTCCATCCTTGTGATCTCTAGCAACAGACGACAGGACAGGTTTCAGCAGTGGCGGATCCAGGGGAGGGGCCCAGGGCCCCACCCTCCCTCCCTCCCTTTCTGAAGGTCTGAATCCGCCACTGTTCAGTGCCTAAATATGATCTTCAATTGGAATTCATTTGGTGCGAAGACATGTTTAGCTTTCAAAAAAGACAGGAAATATCGTGCTTAGCTCCTTGGAGGATTTACGTTGTTTTGTCACCGAGGTAGTTTTTAAATCAGCTGCCCTTTTGAGCTTGGCTTGACAGTGGTCCTTGATATTTCTTGTAACAGTTCATTCTTCATAATTGCAATGTCTGAAACGGTTTTCAACATTCGTTATCTCAGTTTTGCACAGCGAAAATACTGTCATGCATTTTGCTCGGTCAAGGCTTCATGCTACGGTGACTAAGCGTTCGTGTAACTGTGAATAAAATTGCGGTTTTGAAAAGAACATTTTTCTATTTATCTGACTGTGGTATCATCATTGATTTACGTGTGAGACTTACCTACAATACGTAAACCTAAACCTTTAAATCAAAACAACCGCGCTCACAAAGGGTCATCATAGAATTTGTTTAATTCTGTTTTACTTTCAGTTCTGATGGCAAGAAAACAATGTTGAAGCAATGCAATGGCAAACGTCCATCTCTAACTCAAGCGTGTATGTACAGATACTCTGCCATTCATTGTACAAGGCAGTGGCTAACGTACATTTCAAGCGTACATGTACGGATACTCTAACGGTCACCTCCATGAGACTGTAGTGGAATTGACAAGTAGCACTCCGTAAAGGTTCCTTGGTTCCACCTTCCTCGCCACTGTTACAAAGTTTGTATCGGAGTTGTACCCTTCCATTCAAAAGAGAGCTTAAGCAACGGCGACGTCAACGAGAACGGCAAAAAAAGCAATAGCTTTAGATTGACAAAACAACAACTTCGCACCTGCATCACGCTTTTTTGTACATTCCTTTGTCGTCAGTGCACGACTACAACGTGAAAATGCTTAACTTTACGTTTTGTGGAGGACGTGAACACAAGGCAACGACTTTCTTTTTCTCATTCTGAACTTCGATACAGTCTTTTAGAATTCATCCACAGAAAAAAATGCCAACATTCGGCGAATTAAATGAGATAGAATAGAGCGGTTTTCATTTGAGTGTCGAAAAGTAATTGGTTTTGCACTTTCTACACGATACGATTGGCTTAAAAGATTCGCGCCACCTTTTTATCCAATCAGAAGTAAAACCAAAGCCAATTGTGACGCGCTCGCATGCATTTTCCCGCGCTTTGCGTCAGCCACATGTAATTACTTCGAGTTTTGATTGGTTCAATGTATTGTCTGTGTCCTATGTGATTGGCCAGAGTAATTACTTTGGTTTTGGTTTTACGACACTCAAACGAAAACCGCTCTAAGCGCGATAAAGTTTGAAGCAAGGCCACTTCACTTTTTACGTGACGTTTTCGTAACCGTCGCCGTCGTTGTTGCTTAAGCTCCCTAAAGTCGCTAATCCGTCTCTGGTTCAGGATCCCGGGCAAGAAGTGCTGCCTCGCAAGAAAAGGTCTACTCCCTCGTCTGCTCTTCAGCGCTCTTGTTTCTTTTGCTTCTTAGCGGAGCAAAACAAAGTAGAGCCAATTGTGACAACATGACGGTGTCCAACAAGAAAGCTCTTGCTACTTTGGACACCGTACACAAATGAACTTAATGTCTTTTAGTTAATTATTATTTGTCAGCTACTTTATTTTCCTACCTACGCACACTATTGTAAATATCCTATATAGTGTGAATAAACAATTGAATTGAATTGAAAAATGTTCGCATGGCACATGGTAAAAGACTTCTTAGTGACGGTAAAGAAATGTACCAAAACGCGTAGAGCACGTGCTTAGCTTTTGGTTGCTAGTCTATACGTTGCCGTCGTCGTCGTCGGATCTTTTAAAGAGGGAACTT